AAAGGGCTAGCTCAACTTCAGAAATAAAAATACCAGGATCCTTGATGAGTCCTAGCTCTATTATCTATTAGTTCACTGGATCGTACTAACCTCGGGAGCTAGCCACCTGTATCCATCAGTCTCATACTCCGTAGCCTCACCAACACTTTTGCAAGCAGCTACTATACCCATGTCACCTAAGCAAGCATTCCCGTGCCGATCTAATAAGATACGCTGTGTATTGAGGTCTCTATATGCAACACCGTGGTCATTCATGAACTTGATCCCCTCTGCTACATCAACCGCAATCCTTAATATGTCCTTAATCTGAAGCTTCTTGCTTTTAAGCATCATGTCATATACTGATCCACCTTCCATCAACTTTGTCACAACGCACAACCCATGATTTTCATCAATGCAAACGCCAGAAAACTGCAGAATGTTCTTGTTCCCACATGACATGAGCTCCAAAAGATCTCTTCGGAGCTCAAAGTCATAAGAATTTCCCTTGTCACACCCTTTAAGCTTCTCAATTCCAACCTTTTTCCCCTTGTAAACTCCCTTATATGAAGTGGGCCCAATCTGATCAACAAAGTCAAGATTATCAGAGTTCAACAGCCACTTCCCTATCTCATCCCCACCAGATTGTATTGTCTGCCATTCATCTACGGATACAACGAATGAAGAAGTGGGTAGAGGGTTGGGAAGCTGAATCTTTTGGCTAGAAATATCAACTCCGTTCCTATAATTTTGCTCACCAATGTCCTCTTCAATATCTCCCACCTCTCTCCCCTTAGTATTCTCTTCTTGACAACCACATAGTCCAAATGGGAGCTTCACTGTGCTAGGTTTGGGCTTCTTTATGGCTGACTTCAAAGCAATTTCAATCCGATTTCTGAACAACTTCTCTTCCCCGCCTTCGACCAGAAGAAGAACAACTCCAATCGTACACCCTTTCTTCTCAAAGATCTGTATCTTCTTGTAGCAAATCGACTCACTATCAAGTGCACTGGACATCACCGGCCATGAAATCGAAGAATTACAAGCAAATGTGAACTTGAATACAGAGCCCTGAGTCTCATTTTCAGACACCTCTTGAATCAACATGGCAGGATGGCCCTCCACTGATGCCTGCTCTATCAATTTTATATGAAGAAACACTTCTTTCATCTCGAATCCCGCCTGAGCATAACTGTTCAACACATGTAGAAAAACCATCATCACCAAATAAGTAAAATCAGCAATAACACAGCCCAAATCGTGTGTTTGGCTGCTCAAAAAATGTTGCAAAACCAAACAAGAAAAACTCACAACTAGCTACAGATTCAAAAACGATTCAATCTAAACTAAAAGCTTTCAAAACCTGAGGGGCAAAGAATCGTAATGCTTGCGAATGTTGGAGACGAGCTTCTCCGGGAGCTGACTGCCAGGGTAGAGCTGCGTGAGGTTCCGAACAACACTACCCCACACTAACTTCCTAGAGCTCTCGATTTTGTTAAACGGCGCCGTCGCCGAGTCACTTGTCGAGTCGAGATTCAGCGAGTTCTTGAGCGACGCGATAGCCTCGGACACGTTCCGGCTCAGCTTCTGCAGCCTCTTCTGCATCGCCGACGACTCCTTCACTCCGGCACCGGCCGAGCTCTCCGGCGCCGACGTCACCCCCTCCGATCTGTCCTGCGTCCGCATCAGTACCTGCTCCACCATGTCCTCATCCGTACTCGCTCGGCTCGACCAGCACTCCAGCGCTGCAGCCATGGCTACTTAGGCAGGTAGCTAAGCTCAATGCGGCTCGGCTCAGCTCGGCTCACTCAGTAACTCGCCCTTCCTACTACCTTAGCGACACAGAGAGTACAGAGAGAGTGGTCTCGTTCAGATTTCTGAGTTTCATTTTTTCTGACAAATAAAATGAGAGAGAGAGAGAGAGAGGGTGGTGGATTTGTTATTTTGTTTGGGAGCGTGAATAAATTAGTTAATGAAAAAAAAAATTTGGTTAATGAATTTATATCTGCCTGTGTGTGATCAGCATTGAGGGCGATGCGTTCTGATTTGATCCAACGGTGGCCACCGATGGGAAGGGTGTGGGACCGTTATGGGCCCCTTGCTAATACCTTGGTCTCCCGTTGTGTTGCGTCATTTTAGATTTCGACATCTGTACCGTTGATTTGGGAGGAAAGTTTTGGACATTGCTGTCTGGGAGTTCATTGCGGTTGGGACTTGGACTAGGTGGGAGATACTTTCCTCTGGGTGGGTCCGCCTTTCTGTTCGCAAAATAAATTAAGTGGGTCCCGTCTACTTTTTCTTCTTTTATTAAATCATATGGCATCTTATGTCAAATTGGTGGCAATCATCCAAATGCATCGTATAATAATGAATTCTTGTGGCTGAAATAAATTAATTAAACTTTGAAAATATTGGTTAAAATATCCAGAAAATATTCATATCGATAAAACTATTAAAGAAATTTTGAGAATTAAAAAAATGTTCGGAAATTTTATAATGAAATTTTCGGTGTGATCAATTTATCTATTATTTTGTTGGGAAATTTGCATAAATACCACCTGAACTTTTAAGCATGTGCGTCATACCACCTAAACTTTTTTTTTTTTTTTTTTTTTTTTTTTTTTACCTAAACTTTATAAAGTGTTGCAATCCACCACCTACATATAACTCCGTTAAAATTTTTGTTAAGTTTAGGGTATTTTCATTAATTAACAATAACTAAAAATAATTGTTAAAATACAAAATTTTAAAAAATAAAATAAAATAAAAGGTTCAACAAGTGCTGAAGGTCATAATCTTATGGTGATGGCAGAAATTGATGCCTTCTAAACTTCTTGTGGTTGTGCCCTGGTCTGATCGTATGGTGATCATATATGAAAGTCAGCCGCACAACACCATGACCACCTCTTCTTTTGAATGTCCTTTTTGTGAGGGCATGACATACCTGATCTCACTAGCTCAATGAGTGTTGGATGGCATGGAACCATGGAACAATAAGAATACACTTAAGCAATCAAGTACTCACGTTGAAGGATTTATGCAGAGGGTGTGTACATAGGAGGGTGTGGGTGTTGGGGGTGGAGAGGCCTAGTATAATTAGGTTAACATTTTTTATTTTTTATTATATATATATACTATTTCTTTTATAATTATTTATAATTATAGTTAATTGACAAAAATACCCTTAAACTTAATGGAAGCTTTAACGGAGTTATATGTATGTGGTGAATTACTACACTTTACAAAGGTCAGGTGGTTAAAAATAAAAATGAAAAGTTCAAGTGGTAATAACGCACATGCCTATAAGTTCAGGTGGTATTTATGCAAATTTCCCTATTTTGTTTATAAAAAAAGCGATAGTATTTATTGATGAAGCAGAAAAGTTGCAAACGAGCCGAAATGGATATAATGTCTCTAGTCATCAAACGCAACAACATGTTGATTTGATCTAGAGAGAATTATGCATAAACCAACAAATACTCAAACTCCTAATTCAACAGCCTGAAATGCTTGTACTCATACACTAACAATACAGATTCACCGTGCAACGCATAAATGGCAGATCTATATCGCAGTTGAAAATTAAAATACAAAACACACCAAACTCCTAAAGAGTTACTAAGAATTAAAATAAAAAACAACAAACTCTTAAAGAGTAATAGAATAAAACTAATAAATAAACAGGACCATCGCTACACATCCTTTCCAGCAACCGAAAAATAAATCACATTTATGTATTATATTGTGTAACACCTCTCCCATTTAATATAAATGAGACGCATTATATGCGTGGCCCCAACTTTATTATTTAGTATGTAATGAAATTTGAACGTACTTCAAATCTTATGTAATAATGATTAATTGCACTTTATTATGCAAATAACTGAAAATACTATATTATAAGACTTTCAATATGAAAAGTAAATGTTAATATGGTCATTTTAATACTTATTTTAAGAGGAAAATTAAAAAACAAAAGAAAGGGGATTGTTCCTTCCCGGTAAAACAAACAATATCTTATGTCCCGTCCGGAGCACACATGGACTTAGTCCATGGTATCCTGTTAGGGTTCGAGAGGTCCAAGGTTTAGAACTCAACATTAAACTCAAATGAAATAAGATGAACACTTCTTACATGAAATATGGAACACGCATTCCCTTGTTTTGATTCTATATTTTTAACATTTCTTAAATAACAGATTTTTATTTTGTTGTTTTTAACATACATGCAAGGAAGATACGAATTTCTTGATGGACGTGATAATGAGGAGATAACTAATATGGAGAAGCTACTTTTTTTTGTTGTTGGGACAGAGAAGCTACTTTTAAAAGGCAAGATGAGACAAAGTGACTTACATAGGTGTAATTAAGGGTGATTTTGGGATTGTTGTGCTGTAAAAATAATTGCTATCATATTTGATGTGAGAGAAAGCAGTTTGGCGTTTGGTAAACTTTTTGTTAAAAATAATGTTGGTACAATAATCAGTTTCTTTAATTTAATATATATGTCATTAAGTAATATCTATCCTTTTTTAATTACTTTAATTAATTATTGTATTATTATTATTTTTTCTTTAGTGAATATTTAAATATTTTAATGATTTCATAAATAGTAATTAATTATTTTGTGGACCTTTTTAAAATTTTTTTATATAAAATAATAATGAAAACATAGTATTTGAATATATTTAGGAAATATGACAAGGGGCACCTAAAAATATAAGCAACGTCATTATATCACTTCTCATACACATGCAACACACGTAAATACATACCATGTCTAATTGATTCATTATCTCAAGGCTCAGCTTTGCTACAGAGAAATCCAGATTTTTATTGTTATATTTAAAGAGTATACTTGTAAAATAAATATTTTAAAAGAGAGTATAGCCGCGTGGCTATACTCCATAAAAGAATATTTTAAAAGTGAGTATCGCCGCGCGGCTATACGCCATAAAAAGAATATTTGAAAGGTATAGCCACGCGGCTATACTTTATAAATAGAATATTGTAATAGTTATTTTAAAAGTATAGCCACGCGGTTAGACTCTATAAATAGAATATTTTCAGAGTATAGCGGTGCAGCTCTTCCTTTTTTTACACTCAGCAACATAAACGTTCAATGTTTACCATGTAAAACTTGTGCTGGGGGCATGAAAGAACTGGTTTGTCATTATATGCATGTACAAGCTTCTTCTCAACAGAACTTCGATTGAGATCCTCAGGATTTACCACCCTAGCCAAGATCTTTAATCTTTCTCTAAAAGGTGTAGTGGAGCCCTTTGCGAATCCTTTAACTTTTTCCATCTCATTGTCAACCATTTTCTAAAAGCATCATTCAAATATATCAACAGATTGAGTGTTCCAATATAACATAAGATCACATTTCCATCAGGAAGAGTACGTTAGAATAAAGTACATGCCTATCCAAATGGATGAATTTGCATACAAAATGAAGTTACCTTGATGCTGTCTTGGAATTGAGGAGAGAAGTCTTTATCAAAATTCTTAGAAACTTTGAAATACATTGCAAGACCCATCCCCTCTCCGTCACTATCACCAAGAAACATTGCAGCATGATAAGTAGGCAACTGCAACAAGGCGCTGAGCAATATCATTAGATATTGCCAAAATATAATAAACAAAACATAACAAGATAAATCAATTCTGAAAAAAGTCCTGTATGTTTACAATGAACACTTTCCCATTTGCTTTCACTCTGGGAAGCTCAAGATGTTGGGCAATGTGATGTATCTTTTTGGGGTATACAAACACATCAACGCCTATTGGAGTATGGACTGTAGTTCAGAGCAGTTGACTTTCGTTATCTCTGGATGGTAGACCAACAGAAAATAATATTACCATTAGCAAGGCAGAACAGAGTAAGTGAAAACTGATTTGATTCCCTGCGCTCATCTTTGCCAGTGATTTTATATGATTTACCTCCATCTATTTTCATATAACTTTGGTATTCTTCATACTTACACCCGTTTTCAACAAAGCGAGCAGCTCTTTCGTACTGAAGTACTTGGCCACTTGAGATATTCCCAACTGGATTGCTTGCTAATGGAAAACCATATGTAGAACAAGAGAAGAAAATTAAGAAAACAAAACAAAATCCTTTTCCAATAAGCAGCTCAAGAAAAACTACTCCAGTAGTATTGACGTTTTGCAATCAAAGAAGACAACAAGGCTTTCATTATGTAATATGTAGTCACAGGCGGATGCCCAATACCTCCATCTATACTAATAAAGTCATCATCCGAGTCAGACCCCAGAGTACTCACCGAGTAAAACTAAACTTCCTCTTGGCAAATTACTGCAAATGATTATAAACCAAGCTTCCTCTTTCAGGTGTGCATTGTGAAAATCCCACATCGAAATTACACACTCCTATAAAGCTGTTCATAAATAAAGTACTATAATGGTTTGGCATGTGCGATTAACATTGGAGTGTTGGGCTAATGGGCTTTGCTATAGGCTCGGCTTTGGATTTGGCTTTCATTAATAATAATTATATGAATCAAATACTTGGGCTTGGGCCTTGGGGCTCTGGATAAATATATTATGCGGCTATACTATTTTTAAATAAAATTAAAAAACCAATTATAGCCGGGCAGCTGTACTATTTTTAAAACAAATTAGGAAAGAACAAAGTAGGCTATACTATCTTGTAGAAGAATAATACTAGTCTTACCATATTTTTTATACCATAATTATATACCACATGATGTGGCGGCTGATGTGTACATACCACATCATGTAAAATACTAGTTTATGTTTTTCTAATTTTATTTATTAAAATACACTTCATTCATTTAATTGATATGGCATATGATATGGACATGCCACATCATGTGGTATAGAAATGTGGGATAATAATGTGGTAAGTGTAGCATTACTCCTTGTAGAAACATAACGAAACCCAAGTATAGCCGACCGGCTATACTATTTTTTGGAAACAAAAAAGGGGGTATAGCCACCCGGAGATACTATATATATTAAAAGAAGACCCACCTAACACCAAGGCGCCTAGGCCGTGGTAACACATCGGGCTATACTATTATTTTAAAAAAAATTCAAAGAGTATAGCCGGGATATATTAAAAGAAGATAGGCGGGTGGTCACGCCGCACGGCTATACTATTTTTTTCAACAAAATTCAGAGAGTATAGCGCCGCGGCTATACAATTAAAAAAATGAATATGTTTAGGTTAATTAATTTTTTTAAAATTACTTTTAGTAATTAAATCATATATTTGCCTCATTTAATTAGTTAAATTAGTTTATATTATTATTTTTAAATTACTAAATACTAATAATTCACTAAGTAAAATAACTAAACATAATTACTAATTAAAGTAATTAAAAAAGACAAATCCATATTATGCTACTTAAGGGGTACACTATTTTTTAAAAACAAATTCTGGAAAAAGGAGTATAGCAGTGAGGCTATACTATTTTTAAATAAAATTAAAAAACGAGTATAGCCGTTCGGTGGTACTATTTTTTAAAAAAATTAGGCAATAACAGAGTATAGCCGTTCGGCTATACTATTTTGTAGAAACATAAACAAAATCGTGTATTGCCGGCCGGGTATACTATTTTAAAATAAAATGAAAAACCGAGTATAGCCGGTCGGCTGTACTATTTTTTTAAAAAAATGGGCAGAATAGAGTATAGCCGTGAGGCTATACTATACTATTTTTAAAAGACATTACCCAACCGAGTATAGCCGACCGGCTATACTACTTTTTAAAGAAAATTAAGAAAACCAGGGATAGCCGCTCGGCTATACGCTTTCATAGATACCATTAATTCTTTTTAATTATTCATTTAGATAATCAGTTAGCACTTTTTTGAACTTCGAGGGGACAAATTGCAAAATTCAGAACAGTAAGGGCATTGATACGAGTTATCATAAACTTTGGAGTGGAAACTGCAATTTGCATAAAGGTACAACAGTGAGGAGCAGGAGAAGTCCTTTTGATTCCCGCACTTTACAGATCTTAATCGTATTTCTTCATCTACGGAACAGATCTCAATCCAATTGATCGTCGATTTCGTAAAACCAAACGACGTCGTATATTCAATCCGAATTACACATTTTCTTCTACTTTCTGTACATGGCGTCTTCCAGCAGGATGGAATCTGACGGAGACGATGAAGCTGAAGCTGAAGAGGAAGAGGTTTCTCCTCCATTGCTTCGAAATTTTCAGTTTTCATTTATAATTGTAATTTTTAATTCGTAGTGAATTGAGCTTCACGTCGTAATTTGCCTTATTTTTAATTTTTAATTTTAATTTTTGAACTTGAATTTCACTTCAACGCCACTAATGATAGCTAAGCAAGAAAAGTTTCAAGCTCGATATTAACAGAAATAATATTTGTTGCAGGTTGAACATTTTGATGATTTCACTCTCGCCTCTTCATGGGAAAGGTAATTCATTTAGATCATCTTTTTTTTTTACCCTGATATTTTTGACGAAGTAAATTCATATGCAACTAATTTGGATTTATAAATTTCATGTTTTACAGGTTCATTTCTGACATAGAAGCTGTTTGTCGGCAATGGATGGCAGACGGTCCAAAAAATCTGTTGGTATGCTTAAAGAAGCTTGTTCTATTAATCAAATAATGTAATTGAATCATTCACCACACATACAAGCATTTTGATTCCTACTGCTATTTTGCATTGCTAAGTTTGATGTTGTTGAGAGCTGAAGCATGTAAGTTATTATTGTCCCTTTATTTCGGTTTGACCTCCATTGTGGATTTCGTGTATTCTTTCTGTCTGTAGAAAAAGGATGCCAGGGAAGTTTCAGAGGATTTATATAAGGTCAAGTCGGAGTTGAAGTTTTCAGCAAAGAATTATTGTATGGAATACTACTTCGGAAACAAAAATGAAGGTAACAACGAACTTCGCTCGTAAATTTGTAATTACAATATTAATGTGGGAGGCTAATTTATTATGTCGTGGTTGTACAGGCAAAGTTATTGATTGGAATTCCACATTGCATGATTTGCAGTTGTGTTTTGGGGTCAAAGAATTTTTGGTATGTTTTAACTTGACACCTTTAGTTCTTTATTTTGTTCTTTAGTGATTTTTTCTTTTGGCTTCAAACTTGTTGAGTATTTATCATCAGGTAATTGCTCCTCAAAGTGCCAGCGGCGTGGTTCTTGACGCACCTGAAGCTAGCAAGCTTTTAAGTGCAGTTGCAATTGCTTTATCGAATTGTTCAAGGTGGGCGGGCGGGATACCAAGTTGAAACTCTTTTTTTGTAACTTTTGATTATTCTTTAACATATGCCTAGATCAGTTCTAATGTCTGGTATTAGATCAATATCCACGTAGTGTTCCTTTACAATCAGTAGCCCGCAGTTTATTAACTTTTTATCATGGTATTAGATAATTTATGCAGTTCATTATCCGAGTATATTTTTTCAACTTGCAATCTTGTTTGAAATTTGGCTATGCAGTTTGTGGCCAGCGTTTGTTCCAGTACATGTACCTTCTAGGAAAGCTTATATTGGAATCCAAAATATGGGAACAGTTTTTACAAGAAGATTTGAGGCTGATCATATTGGTAGCCAGGTTCCAGTAAAACTCATGCATTTGGAAGGATTGTATGAGTTGTTGTTTCAAAATTTGTAAGTTTCTACCATAAGTTGTATGCTGTTTTTTTCTTTTCTTTTTTATATGCTCTTATTGTCTCATGTTGGTGATTCATTTACCTGTTGAGCTGGCATCACCACTATGCTTTGAAGCTGATATGTGTTTTATGTATTATTTCTTCTTGGTGTTTCTTTTTATTCTCTACTTTGTAAGTAGGTTTTTTTTTTTTTTTTTTTTTTTTTTTTTTTTTTTTTTATTTATGCAATACTATGATTTTTATGTTTTTCCTCAGGAGAGGCAAAACCCTTTTTCTTTTGTTATTCCAAAAGTCTATTTTTTCTCAAGTAATAATAGGGTCTTTTCTCTATTTTTATTCTTGGAATTATATGTTCTTTGTGTATCTATCTTGTTTTGTATATTTTGCTATGATCTCAGTGATTGTGTCATATGTTCATGCCAAGTTTGTATTGGGGGAATTTGAAGTTGTATTGTCTTTAAGTTTAACTTTTAGTTCCCTGTTTCTCCAAATTCTAATTATTTTCCATTTGTTGTTGAAGGCCTACTCCACATTGGACATTTCTATGCATCTTTTCAAAGTCCATTTTACTATGAAGCTAACCTACAGATCCCTTCCTCATGATGATGATGTTCAAGGAGATGATCCAAATGTTACTGAATCTGAAATAGATCTTGGTGGTGACACTCACAATAGAACACAGTGGGATGATGATTGTCCATGGAGTGAGTGGTATTCTGCTGAAGACCCTATAAAAGGTAATCTTATCCTGAACTATTCATTGTAATGCTTCCTGTTTTTGGCTTTTCCATAGTCATGTTTTTTCTTTAATTATGAATGTCTGGGCTGATGTCTTCGGTTTTCCTTCAAATCACATGCATGTTGTTTACTGATATTATCTTTGGCATGCTCGATAACTCAATATGGAGTTGATATTCTCTTTTTGTCCCTAAATTTATTTATTATTTTATCATCTCCTTTCTGAGGGGACCTAATAAATTACACTAATTGTGGTTAATAAAAAATTATTAAGATTCATCCTACTTTTTGCCTGTTCAGTGTGGACAATATGTCTTCCATTTAGTTTGATGTATGTATCGTCTGCATACAGGATTTGAATTGGTTGCCATATGGTCAGAAAAGGTGGTTGAGAGCTCCCTGGAAATGGCTGAACTGGAAAATTATTCGCCCCATGAAGCTCAAAATTGGATATTATCTCCAGATATGTCTTCAAGTTTGTTAGTATTTCTTTCCATGATATTTATCAATTTTTGTCAGGTAAAAGCTATGCCTGTCATAATTGTTGTCCATGCAATATTGTGAATATTGGCAAGATTTTGGTTCTTATTGTTCATTTCTAGCACAATAAACGTGACAAGAGAATTTACTCATGGCGTCTAGCCCCCAAATTGTATAATTTGGGTGGCTAAATTATATCATTTTGAACTCTAATCTCCTCAAGTAAAATTTATGTCAAGCTGAACTTTATCTTTAGAAGCAATATCCAATTATCTGCATGTTCAAAATGCCAGTACGTCGTTTTTATTCATTGGTGCACATATGAAGCACCTAAAATGGGGTATTATTTTGTATTGTGCTTAATTTATTAAGCTTTCTGATGAATATTTTTCTCTCAGAACTGATTCTTCCAAAGGAAACAGAATTGGATTTGCTTCTCAACTGTGCCTTTTGCTTGAGGCATTGAATATGTCCTTTGAGGCTCAGTTTATGGAAGATTTTGTGTCAGGTTTGAATTTGACTTCTCATACCAACTTTGATTTATGAGCTATTTTCATTAAGTTTCATGTTTCTGTTTCATGAGTTGGAGATGGCATTTTGATTTTGTAAGATACCCACTTTCTCTTCTTAATTTGTTTTTCTGTGGGTAGTTGAAAATCCAGGCTCCGATAATTTGAAATCCTCAATGGTTATACCCCCACCTACAGTTATTGATCGTGTGCTTAAGGAACTCTTTCATGATGGTATGCTCCCTTCCTGCAATACATGTTCATGTAGTTAATTAAAATACACCCTTGACAATATATTACCATGGTTGCTGAGTATCATTGTTATATCTGCAGGTGCACGATTCCCAGATGTTGCTGCTGCTGAGCATAAGACTGCTCGAGCTATTAAAGGCGCACCTCTTGAATCCCTGTTTGCACAGTTTTGTTTACATTCTCTTTGGTTTGGAAACTGCAACATTCGTGGTATGCGTAAGAAATAGATTTCTAATATTTCGGATGTTAAAACCATTTAAAGAAGTTATTTATTGTGTATCCCATTCAGCTTATTGGATTCATTCCCTAGTGATGTTATTTTCTAAATTATGACCAGCTGTTGGTTTTTCTATATGTTTGATCAGCTATTGCTGTTATCTGGATAGAGTTCGTTCGAGAAGTTAGGTGGTGTTGGGAAGAATCACAACCATTGCCCCTAATGCCAACCACTGGTGCAATTGACCTGTCCACTTGCTTGATTAACCAGAAACTTCACATGGTAATTATCTGTAGATATCTTCCATGAGTTTGATGGAATTCGTTTGTACCAAAAAATATATATATATATCTCTGAATAAAGTTTCTACACACTGGTTAACAGATGGATTAAAAAATTTAGAACCTTTGCATATCTGCCTTCTATAAGAGCACTGATCTAAGCTTATGATTTTTGCTGTATGGCACCATGACTCCTTGTCAATGTACAGACAGCGATGAACACACAAAGTTTACCATTATGTGGATCAAATTGTGATTGAAGTAATATGCCTGACATGTTAATTTTAATTTTAAGATATGACGTGCAAATTTTGGCATTTGACCTTATCACTTGATAATTCCTTTGAAGCACATGAAACCAAGCCAAAAACATTTTCAGCTTGCTGCTTTTCTCTTCAGCTTGCAATATGCATTGAGAGGAAGCGCCAATTGAATGAAGACTTTCAAGATTGTATTGGAAGCCAGGATCATTCATCTCCTCAAATCGAGGTGAAAATGGTGTTTTTAAATTCCTTTTTTGTAAAATGATCTGACTTCTTGTGTTCTAATTCTACCTAAATCACAGTTCCTCTTGACTTCAGCATGACCATCTTATTTGGCCAAAAAAATGCAGGAAGATAGTCTAGATGAGGACAGCTCAAGTATAATGCAAACACCTGGTGAAAACTTTGATGGGAAACGTGACAGGTGAACTAAGCAAGTGAGATCTCCTTGGTTTTCTTCGTTAAATACTAACTAATTGTGTTGGATTATCTCTTCGTTTTTCTTTCAAACTAGATAAAATTTTGTTTTGGAGTATAATTATATTTTTAGCAAAGGAAAAGTATAGTGGTCTGTTATGAAGTGCAGTTTAAATTTCTTATGTTCTCCATGATTTACTTATGTAGTGTTTTAAGTCAATGTACAGTCAGCGACTAGGGAAGATGATTATCAATTTACAAAGAAAGATAAGTTTTCATATGATTTATGCACTTTACCTTGATCATGCAGCAGCCCTGCAACATCTGATGATTCTCAACACTCTGAAAACAGTGTATCTATAGTTAGTACTAAGTCTGAAGATGCAGAACCTACTAATCTAAAACCTTCAGATTGTATCCGGAGGGGTTCAGCTGGAGTGGCAGGGCCTATGATGCTCCTGAAGTCATATCAGAGCATGCATGCACCATTCACGCAGGTTGATGTAACACATACTATCAATTAACTACCAATCATAGTTTGTGCTCTTACCAAGCCTGGAGAATATGAAGTTGATCTTTTTCCACTTCATCATTGTAGGAGGCACCACTTATGACAGAAGACATGCATGAAGAGCGGCTCCATGCTGTTGAAGCCTTTAGCGACTCATTTGTAAGATTCAGACATTCATTATGTTTGTCTTAAGTTTCACAAGGTTCTTTGTATTAGTATGGGATCAGATGGTTCTCCATGTGTTAAGTATCTTGATTACTGTGATAATCTTATTAATTATTCTTTTGCAGAACTTTTCTGCTCAGTTGGAGAAAGAGATCTTAGCTTCAGGTAATAAGCTTTAAATTCTCTTTATTTTGTGACACGACTTGCACATTGACATTAACAATTAGTGGGTAACATATTGAGATGCTGTTTAAATTTAACATGTCACTTATGAGCTGTTAAATTTTGATTAGACATGTCAGCATTTAAAGCGGCAAATCCAGATTCTGTTTTTGAAGATTTTATTCGATGGCATTCTCCTGGAGATTGGGAGAGTGATGAAACAAAAGACACTGGATCATCCAAGAGCCCTGCAATAGAGGGTTCAAAAGCTGACTGGCCTCCTCAAGGACGGCTTTCAAAGAGAATGTCTGAGCATGGCAATTTATGGCGAAAAATTTGGAATGATGCACCGGCGTTGCCAGCTTCTGAGCAAAAGCCAGTTATGGATCCAAACAGAGAAGGAGAAAAGGTAAACTGACTTAAGAACAGTTATGCTGTAGAAAATCATTGCTGCATGTCTGTTGTCTAAAGGGTCCATGAGAGTCGGAGTGTCCCTGGATCAGGTGGGGTCAGTTTTGGGGCATTTTACCACCTAAACCTGAAACAGAACCAACCCAATCCAGCAATGGATTGTGTTTTGTTGGTCAGGTGATTGGTTGGGCACTTGGGCATTAACCAATTAATTTAACTTGCTCAATGGGCAACAGAAATGGAATAGGCCCATATACATGAAATTGGATGAAACCTGATGAAGGAATTCCCATGGCCTTGTGTTGAAGGCATAAACTCCGGTAAGTAAAGGGAAGCAGATTTTCTTTCTTCCAGGTGGGGGACTTATGGCAGTAAGTATTCACATCGAAATATGATCAAATGAAAAGAAGAAGAAAAAACATAGATTGCCCTTGAGCCTTAGTTTAAGTGTCATGGGATGGGTGGTGTGAGGACAGTAGATCCTAGGTTCAAAACTATATGTAACAAAAATAATAGATGACATATAACAACAAACAAATGATGTGCTGCTCAATGGTTAGTGTTGTGTTAGTCCATAAGAATCAAGTTGGTTCCCTTTTGCAGTAGTTTATCTTTAGTTGGCTTCTGTGTCTTTATGGTATGTGCAGTATCTCCTTAATGATTTTCTAATGTTGCATTCCATAGATCCTTCATTACCTGGAAACGGTAAGGCCGCAGCAGTTGCTCGAGCAAATGGTTTGTACTGCCTTCAGAGCATCAGCAAGTACTTTAAACCGGACTAGTTATGGAGGCTTGAGGCAGATGGCAACCAAAATGGATCAACTTTACATTACTATGACATCTGCATTGAGGCCTTTGCAAGGTTGCCTAGTGTGTTTCTTTTAGAAAAGAAAAAACAAATACTAATGTCTCTGTGAGTGTGTATGTACTTTGACTCTAATATTGGACTGAGTATTTACAATTTCGGTTTCTGTTCCAGCAAATCCTCTATCGCCTGGCAGTGAGACTATTGAAGACATAAGACGGCTGTGTGGTGTTTTTGAACATGTTGAGAAGCTACTTGCTATTGCAGCTTCTCTTCATCGTAAGTTCTTGCAAGCCCCACGCCTCTCTGAAGCAATATTTTCTGACTGCTGCAGCTTTTATTTTCCTAGAATGGGAACAAGCTCCTCAGGAGACAACGCTCAAAAGGTAAAAGGCCTGTATTCATGACAACCTTCTTATTATAGCAGTCCAGCAGATAATGCCCTCATGTCTATAGGGTGTTAATCAGGAAGCATAAGTCTTACCGAGGGATCAGAACTTTTTGTTGTTTGAGGAATTGAAAATTTGTATCACAGCGTTTATGTGAGCCATACTTTTTAGCGGGAAGCCCCAGTAAATGTTAATCATATGCGCCTCTTATCTTTGCAGGAGTTTGACAAGAAGCAACCAGTAAGGGCGCACGAAAGACTGGTTGTGTCGAATATGTTTACACCTCCCACTGCTAACCAGTCATGGAGAAAAGTTTTGAGCTTGGGTAATCTTCTCAACGGCCACGAACCGATCTTGAGGGAGATAATATTTTCCAAGCGTGATAAAATCAGTGGGAATCACTATGCTGCCCGTACTCCCACAATTTATCAAGAAGAAGTAGAAACATATAGAATGTATACATGTGGAACCTCAAATGACCTTCGTGTAGCTCTTTCCGTCGTTTCATGTGATTAATAATGTTTTCAGGATATTGTACAGTAGTTAATAATATTCATTCTTTATGAAATTTTATTCCAGTCATTTCTTCATAGAGATGATTTTGATTTGGAAATTCCATAGAAATGAAACTCTTTTTTCATCTTTGCTTTGGAATTGGAAATGGATCCGCGTTGTGTTGCCGATGGCATATGGTAAGATTTTGAATTTTTGAGAATCAATAATATTCCAGGCTTTAAAGCTTCTAAAATGTAATTCCAAATCGATAATCTTAATTGTTTTACTAATTTTCCTATGTGAATTTGGTAAATGTTCTTGCAGAAGTTACTGTGCAAATCAGTCCGAACTGTTTGTTTTAATAATTCTGAAGAAAGTCAAAACCCATCCAGGGCATTTGGTCTAGTGGTATGATTCTCGCTTAGGGTGCGAGAGGTCCCGAGTTCAATTCTCGGAATGCCCCTTAACATGTAGTACTTTCAAGACCTTTTTTTTTCTTTTCCCCAAACACACTTAAAATATCAAGCCATCCAGGTAATGCCCCTCTAACCACGTGCTTCTAGGATTTTTTATATATTGCAATTTGCATTGCATGTGAACATGCTTATAATATCAAGCTATTAGATTATAATACCACACTATCTAGGGCATTTGGTCTAGTGGTATGATTCTCGCTTAGGGTGCGAGAGGTCCCGAGTTCAATTCTCGGAATGCCCCTTAACATGTAGTACTTTCAGGACCTTTTTTTTTCTTTCCCCAAACACACTTAAAATATCAAGCTATTAGATTATAATACCACACTATCTAGGGCATTTGGTCTAGTGGTATGATTCTCGCTTAGGGTGCGAGAGGTCCCGAGTTCAATTCTCGGAATGCCCCTTTCTTGAACTGACTTTTAGCATATTTTTCTATGATGCAATTTGCATTGCATTGTGAACACACTTATAATATCAAGCCATATTAGATTATGTTTTCATTCAACCAATGCGAACCGGTATTTTTAATATTAATAATAGGTAGCATGTCCGTGAACGTAAAATTTGTTTGGAGGTAAAAGCTTTCACAGAAGATTTTTACAGTACATGTACGTGTTCCACGAAGCATATGGGTAATTTATGGACATCATTGAGTGCCTGGGTTTTTTGTATCACTCACTGAAGCCCCATCAAAAGACCACAGGTCCAGAAACTACCTTAAAGTCTCCTCCCGCCTCCCCCCAATATGTACGGCTGAGAATGAGTGGGGCCAGCATTTCGATTAAGATTAGACTGCTTTTATAGTCAAGAAGTGGACAAATGAAAAAGTGAGGCCGATGCACTGCACTCATGAAAAAAGAAAGATAAAAACCTGTACCTTGGATAAGTTTTGATTCCTATAAGTCTATGACCCAAATACACAACAAAATTACACAAATTAAGTTCCAAATAAAATCTCTCTTACTACTGGAAACCCTTGATTGTGAAAATGCTTAAGTATTGATCCATGGGCACAATCTGATTTCAATAGCTAGAATAGTTTTGGTTCAATCACTATGACATACTTATATATAAGCAGTATTAAGGAATGGTGAACCGAACACAAGACCTCTATACATCAATAAACGAACTCCTTAAATTACAAGTCTCTTGCCACTGATTATAACACATACTTGGGTTTTTTTTCTTTTTTCTTTTGGGGTCTATGCAAGTAGTCCTGGAATTTTCATGGCTTTTAAGTCAACATCAGAAGAAAATAGACCCTACATGAGAATGGAAACAGCAGGCATGAATGGTGGGTGAGGAGTAATAAATAAAACAAGGACATGTGTACTACACGTATAAGATGCCTATATGCAACATCAATGCTTTCAATAAAGATCATGCACCACCAATATCATTTCTCCAATTGAAGTCTGTGAGCCCAGATCAAATAGAAATTTGATGATTTTTTTTATTTTTATTTTTTGCTTTAAAGTTTATTTTATGTGACTGAATTGTACATTTGTCCTAGCTCATTTGAAGGTCTTAATCTGAAAATAAATCTCTTACTTAATTAAGCAAATCATAGTATTTCATCTATTAAACTTGTCTATGTAAATCTCTGCTGATTTTGACCCTTCAATCCGTGGATTTTTATCCTTTTCCCTGTTCAATTATTGCTTTCCTGATCCACATCTTGACTTGATGGGATGGATAGCTTCATTTCATAGCTCAGTTGTCCAATGGGAATTCAATACGTTTTCATTTCTTGTAAATTGTAAAATCACATGTGTTATGCAGGACACATGATGTTTGTGGATTGATATTATTAATTAATTAATTTTTTATTGAAGTATTGTTTTATTTAAGTGTTTAGAAAGTAACTCTTCAGATGTTCAAATGCTTAAGAGGACAACAAGATGAGATTATTGTATAAAACCAGCCATAAACACCTCTTTAGATGTAGATGTTTTCTCCCTTTGCTTTAATTATGCTTGTCAAAACCTAAATTAAACGACAGTAGTTCATGACATAACATGTATGAGCTTCATGAGGTCGATAATCGTTTTTTATTATATATTAATGCACTATGTATTTTAAATTTATATATATTAGTACGGCTCACAATCATTTCCGTGTTAATATTAGTTTACATTATATTTTAGGCTTTCAGCCACGAAAACAGTAATAAAAAGATTATCTTTTTCTTTTTCTCTTTTGTAATAATGGGAAAGAATGATTTAAGCAATAAGAGAGTGCAATGATAATGTATAACTTTGGGCATAGGGATATCCTGCTATCTACATGGGGCATCATTTTCTTAGCCATCCTTGATTGCTTGAAATGATGAATGATTAAGAGGAATCGTTTGTGGTGGGGCAAGGCTTTCTACCTTTGAAAACACATAAATCCTGTATTTAAATACTGCACAAAAATAAATTGTGGGGTTTTGAAATTGACATGTCTTGTCTTAAGTTTAGGGCCTAAGAAGAAAATGGGGGCGAAGGCATTGGATGCGTTTTCCCTTTGCATAAAATAAACAAAAAAGAAGTTGCATAGACCACACGATTTAAGTTATAATCACCATCGTCTTCTCCTACGCTACTCATTCTTAATTAATTGTTTTAAGTACCATAATTAAATTAAATTAAATTAAATTAGTTGATAGATTTATGTTCCATTATGTAATGCCTATGTCCCTAGGTTGCAAGTCATCTTAAGATTAGTACCTTTCATTAGGAGGTGGCGTGCATCTATGTTGCTTGAATTGCTAACCATTAGTCAAATTTGGAAATGGCTTTTAGCAAATCAGACAGTGAAATCCTTCACGTAACTTATCATTGCATTGATTTCCAATAATATGTGTACTGATGTAGGACTAATAATTGGTCATCTTAACCTTATCATTAACTAAGTGTTAAAACTTAATTATGAAAACACGATATGATGTGTGGTAGAGAACTAATCCCGTGTTCAAGTGTTGGCTAATCGCTTTCTCTCTTTCCTCGGATTTATATTTTTTTTTTATGAAGAAGAAAGAAATCCGAGCTGATTATACTAGAGACATTTATATTAAATATCTTGCTATATGAATTTTTACATCTAAAAATTAAGTAATATGATATTGTTCTAAACTTTTTCAACATTCAACATATCGGATTAGATTATATTGCATGCTATATATGTACTTATAACAAGTTTTGAGTTGCACAATAAAAAAATCCGTTTTGAACGAAAACTCATATCAAATTATCATTTATGAGATTTAAAACTAGACTTCGTCTATTCAAATGAATGCTAAATACTACTAACCATATAACATTTTCTCATTCCATAAGCCTCCATTTAAAAGACCTTAATGTATTTCAGGGAGAAAAACCTTAGTCTTGCTATGGCCAAACATTGATCATACCCTAAAATTTATAACACCACCAAAACCCTTACCAACCTTCAACCATTTTCACATGAAATTCGTCATTCTCATTTCCCAAATCCCCCCACCTTCACACAAATTTGTCATCTTCTACCTTTTGTATTTTTTGTTTATTTATTGATATCCTTACAATTATTACTATTTGCTTTTGCAAGATCTCTTCTGACATATGGAATCCCACTGCTGAAAGCCAAATGGTACGACTGGTCCCCCATTTGAAATCTCTGGCCAATAATCAGGCAGATGTGTTATTCCTACCAGGCCCTCGCCGTGTTAAGGATCCAATAAGGACGTATGTTGCTTTGAAGTAGAAGAACCGTATGTGTACGTATTATGTTTTTTAGGGCAAAAACACAAATTTTAGCATCTTTGCGTAACTAAATTGCAAAACTAGCAGTACATGATTTATTTATTTTTCAGAAATAATACTTATTGTATATATCGACATTCAATTTACCGTCAACTTTTCTACTAACGTGGGTTAGGATAGATTTAAATATAAACAACTTAAGTTAAAATCTTGGAGAGGAGGGTAAAAATCAAACTCTAACCGTTGATATAATCAAGGATGGAGCCAGGATTCAAACTTTTGGGGGGCCAAAAAATTAACATGTACCAAATATTTAGACCAAGAAGAAAAAAATATAGATTGCAGAAAAAAAAAAGTATATTAAACTTATTTTGAAATACGTTAAGCTATATAGCCATTTTAATTATTTTTTATCAAGTCTTTTTAACCTATTTGGTTAGTTATGATAAGAATTAAGATTTTCCAACTAAATCTATCTAAGTATAGCTATTTATTTTTAATTTTTATACTTAAGAAATTAATATCTACTAAAACCCAAAAGAGAAAGATATAAAAAATAATCAAAGAAAAGCCAATATAACTTCACATTATTACTCAAAATGCATTTATTAGGGTGGCCATTAACTTCAAACATGCAAAATCCTTTTAATATGTTACAATACATTGCTTTGATTGGTAAAAACTTAGAAAACATTGGAAGGGGCCAGGGTCACCTCTGACCTAAAGGTGACTCCGTTCCTGGGTATAATGATAAGCTTAAATTAGAGATTCTAAGTTTGATTCTCCTTATAACGACGTGACAATGTTTTTGTTTTTTCCCACTCGTTATTTGTGGATGATTGAAGAATTTGAATTAGGGCTGGAGACAGTTGTTTATACGCATGAATGACTCATTCTGATATACGTAGAGCCAAAAGGCATCAATGAATAATGGTCACATTTCAAGAATAAAAGTCACTGCACAATATCAGTCCAAATATGACATGGATATAGCATGCTGCTGATGAATTACTACACATACCATTGATACCAAGCTGGTCAGAATTTTGTTTCCTGAAACTTAATAGGGCTTGTAGACACGAGGCCAGCACTGCAGAATGGCCTTGTGATTTTTTTAAAGTCCAACTGTTTTTTTATTTTTTACACCAAAAATAAAAGTATTATTTTTAAAACAACCTTGTGATTGCAGATTGCCAATGAAGGAGAAATTAAATAAATAATAAAAAAGAAGAATCAAAGTGATCAAATTGCATCTGATAATTGATATGATTCTGGACAATGCGTCACGGGGGTCATCCATAAATGATACCCACCATCAACATATTATGATAAATAATCACAATTATCTCAACTTGTAATCACATTTAAGAATCTCAAGTCAAATTGGTCTCCTAAAAGAAATGGATTTTCAACCCTTTCGTGCTTAATACATAGATTAATTACGATGCCCTGCATATGATCCTTTGAGCCCTTTTCTTCATCTGTGATCCAGTTCACGGATTAAACCCAAATGCACAAGGATCAGATTTTTTGCAGATCTTATTCTGCCCTTCTTTTTCCTTTCTTTATTGTGCCTTGTTTTTTTTCTTCTATAGAAGAATCTAGCATTTGAAATTTAAGTCCTGATTTTATTCAAAAGATGTAGCTGTTTACCATTCACCTGAAATCGAGTACATATTTGGTTCTATAACTTTTGTACATCAACATTAATGTTAATGTTGCATGCATGCCTTTTCTTTTTTTTTTTTTTTTTTTTTTTTTTTTTTTTTTCTCGAAATGTGCCACAAGAGCGTAAAATGGCCGACAGTTAATATATTTGTCAAACTGTGATTTGTAGGAAATAGAGAATGATGAAATTTTTCATCATGAACTTAGTGTTTTCAATTAAACTTTACAACTTTTTTGTTGTTTATGTTGCTGTTTTCTTTTAAAACAAATGGTAATCATCGTTCATTTATTATAACCATGATGTAAATGATTATTGTCCCTAATGCTAATGATGCATGATACACTGAAAGCGATGACATGATTGATTGGGGAGTGTGAATTGCAAGTATCTTCCTATTTCTTAAGTTTAAAAGAAAATTCTTATGATCATAAAATATAAAAAAATTATTAAATGAACCTTTGAGAGATTTTAAGATACTCATTAACCAATAGTTTTGGAGCATGGTAAGAGAGTAAACACAACTGCACACAGGCTACCTGTCTGAAAAAAAAAAAAGGTTTTTTCTTGTAGGAGAGAGTATTTGTCACGTTTCGTGCAACCCACGAATACGTTTCACCCCTGAAAAAAACAAAAGAAAAAAGAGGAGCTCATGTGATTGATTGTCTGCTGCTATATTCGGGGAGAGAGAGAGAGAGAGAGGGATTAGACTGGAGATGAAATCTTGTCAATCGGGTCGTCTCAGCAGGTCAATTTGCCAGGGGGTTATATATTAGGGACATTAATTCTCAAGCAAGACTTCCCTAATTTAGCAAGCATACCCCTCAGGGTTTATCTCTGATGTGTTCCACTGGTATTGCTTGTTGATGTTGCTTTGTTTGTATTATGAGTTGGCTTCTAGTGCGCTTGTTTTATTGTTTGATTTCTTGGGTTCATTGTTTCTAGCCTTTATGAGGTGTTGTTGTGGATTTGCACTGCATTTGTTGACTGGAACTCCCCTTCTTTAGGGGCTGTTGTGTATTGCAAATTCTGTAATTTGCCCCAGTTCTGCAATAGAAATCTTATGTATCACAAAAAAAATAATAAAATGAAGGGACAAAAACCTTGATTATTTAAAACAATTATGATTGTAGTTAACTGGGAGATCATTAGTAATTAACATGATTGGGATTGTTTAAAAATTAGTAACTTATACAAGTGTGAGTTAAGTTCGTTGATCAAGACAATGTGTCATGTTCACTTGTACCCACATTTAATTCCCTCTTTATGCGTACATCATAATAATTTATAAGCACTTTAATTTAATGGGGCATCACAAGAAGCCAAACTTCTTCACAGCATGAAAATCTAGTTCAAAGGGATTGCTTTCTAATAAATAAGCACTTTATTATCTTTAAAAATAATGAATTATAAGTATTGATTTCTAACAATAATGGCATCTCCAATAACTCCATTCATATTATTAGCCATTTTTTTTTTTTTTTTTTTTCTAAAAATATACAAATCCATGTCCTGCTGAATCGTGAGCATTTTCAAAGTGCCCACCCATTTCCGCTTGAGCTTGAACACATTCATGTTATATATCAACACTAATGAGGTCGCAACCATGGAATATGCATACGTACACTCCTGATTGAAGCAAAGATTAAGCACTAATGAGGTCCTTAACTTAAAATGGGTTTTCAATTTTTCCCCCGTTCTTGTCCTTAATTGGCCTGAAGATGTTTGACCTTCATCACGAGAAAAACTTAGTTACAACGATAATAACTTAGTTACAACGATAATAACACTATTTTACCATTCACTTCAAGCCACTACTTGTTCCACGCACCAACCCTTCAATGTTGCAGACACGCAATCATTTTGGCCCTGGCTATGGTTTTCCACATATATATATTACATTGTCTTTTCCCCCCAGAGAGAATAGTATATTTTTTTTTTTTTTTTTTTTTTTTTTTTTTTTTTTTTATTTTTTAAATAATTTTATGTTATGTATAACATGACGGTGACTATTATATGTTTTTTGTTATTTTGGTATGGACGTTCCCAACCATGCATATTAAATAGGTAAATATATATTATATGTAATAATTATATTAACTTATAGAGACATAGGGTTTGATAGGTTCTTTGAGCTTAAAAATAATATTTCTAACAGATAAATAAATATAAAAAAGTACTTGTGCCATTACAAATACATATAATCAATTATCTAAGAAGTATTAGCAATAGTCCTTAGTGCTATAAATTGTTCTTTTAAAAGGTATAGTATACATAGATGTTATATGAATCTTATACCAACCGAATGCTATTCTTCAACGAGTTTTGTGTTTGTTACACAATTTGGTCATTCTAAATTAAAAAATATATCACATAATATGCTCTGTTAGATCTTAAAATTTAACCGTTGAATATCATCTTTGGTTATCCACGAACTTCCCACCATTTAAAATTGTATTGTTCAAGTACACATAAAATATAACTGATTCCATATAAGCTCTAAGATTACTAAACTTTCATAAAATTTCAAACTTCATTTTACCCTTTTGAACAAATTTTTGCTCTTTGGGGAAAGAATTTGAAAAAAAGGAGAGAAAAAAAGGTGTTGATTCACAAACGCCTTATGGGTGCGTATAAATGGTAAATGGGGGTGTCTTGGATTGGAGGAAAAATATAGATTTAAGGGGGAGTGGAGAGAGCAGCAGAGGCAGAGGCAGCAGCAGCAGCAGCAAGAGGAGGGTTGAATAGTAAACATGTCACTTCCAAAGGGGCCACCATGTGAAATTTTGTGAATTCTCTCTTCTTCTCTCTTCTTCTGTCTACACCTATCTCTCTCTCTCTCTCTCTCTCTCTCATTTTTTTTCTTGGGTGAGAGAGTGAGTGAGCGAGAGTCTCATTCATATTCATTCATCCATACTTTTTTACGTCCCATCACTAAACGCTCCTCCTCCTCTATCTCTCTCTCTCTCTCTCTCTCTCTCTTCTCCCCTAAAACCCTGACCCACCGAGAACCTTTCCCGTCACACTACTAACATCCCCCTCCTCTGAAACCTCACCATCCCCAAATATTCAACCTTCACATTGGAAGGAAGGGGAGAGGAAAGAGACAGAAACAACCCACAATTCAAAGCCTCAGCTTAGAGACCAGAAAGAGAAGAAAAAATACCCATATATATTATATACCCAGTTGAAAATATTTTAGCATAACTGCCAAAACAAAGAGACAATGGATTCAGCTTCAGGGGGAACCGGACCACCCGACCCGAATACCAGCGGAGGAGAGGGCCCATCATCGGCAGCAACCGGGTCGATAGCGGCGGCTGCTGCTGGTGCCGTTGTTCCAGCAGCAGCAGCCGAGGCCTCATCGTCTCCAGCCCCGCCGAGCCGCTATGAGTCGCAGAAGCGGCGGGACTGGAACACCTTCCTGCAGTACCTCAAGAACCACAAGCCGCCGCTGACGCTGGCACGGTGCAGTGGGGCCCACGTGATCGAGTTCCTCAAGTACCTCGACCAGTTCGGGAAGACCAAGGTCCACGCCGCCGGCTGCCCCTACTTCGGGCACCCCAACCCCCCTGCCCCGTGCGCCTGCCCGCTCAAGCAGGCCTGGGGCAGCCTCGACGCGCTCATCGGACGACTCAGAGCCGCCTACGAGGAGAACGGTGGACGGCCCGAGTCGAATCCGTTCGGGGCTCGGGCCGTCAGGATTTACTTGAGGGAGGTGAGAGAAAGTCAGGCCAAGGCTAGGGGGATTCCGTACGAGAAAAAGAAACGGAAACGGCCGACCGTTACGGCCACCGCGGTTGTCGGGAATGTGTCGGCGGGTCCCTCTCAAGGAGGAGGTGATGGCGATGTCGGTGGTGGTGATGGCGGCGGTGGTTCAAGTACCACTGCTGCTGATGCTGCTACTACTAGTACGGCAGTATAGGAGGTTCTCTCATCACCAATTTTCACCCTTCACCCCTCTTTTTTCTTTTTAATTTTTAATTTTTGGTCTTTTATAATTATATCTTCTCTCTGTTTTTAATTGTGATTATGAGGTATGTATATCAGGCGATTCTCTGATATAATTGAATCGACCAACCCATGAACAAATTTTTTAGAAATTTCCCACCATCTCGTGCTAGTTAATTTCCAACTTAATATCATATGGATCATCATCTTTACTCATTTTACTTAGAATTTATGATACTGTGCAACTGATCATAGTGATACCACTAAACAATTAATTTAAATCCGAAATCCCGTCATCCTCTTCCTTTTAGTTTAGACTATCGTTTATATTTAAAATCACAATTCATTTAAATCCAATAAATAACAATATCATTCATTTGGGGTTCATTTATTCTTCTCTATTATTTAGGTTTTCTGCAACCAGCAGGACTGTTGACTGTGGAGGTCACAGCTAGTGACCTGGCTTACTGGCAAAGATAGGGCAAAGCTGCCAAACCATACTAAAAACAGACAGTGAGCAAAACCAGCTCTATATATAGCTATAGCTTTCCCAATTGATCTCTCTGGTCCCCGGCTTCTTTGCATTCATCCACCAGCTATATCCATATCTATAGCTGGGCTCAAACTCAATCTATAGATGTATATCTATATATCTATGTGTCATCATGCCCACGTGCGCTTCTGATTCACTCATATTTTGCACTTTCAGTTTCAGGTGTTGTTTTCCCCCGCTTTATAAATTATATCCACACCTATCTTCAATCTAATAAGACTTTGTTTTTAGGATTTATTGGGGGTATTTTTTTCTTGGTATTTGGATTGGGATTTAACAACTTACAAGCATATCAATGAATAGAAGACGGAAAAAAGAAAAGAAAGCAAACGGTTGGTTTAGTTGGTAAGGTTTTTTTACTGTGTGTAGTCCTATTAGTGTTTCAACAGTCCTAGTTAGTGCACAATCTGTGATTTCTTATATAAATCCATACCAGTATCAGTTGCCAATTGAGTGCCACGCATAAGTAATTCCGGCTCGAGATTGTAAGTCTGTCCTAAAGATGGTGGTGAGAGTAACTAATCTCCCTTTAAACTTTTTATTTTAAAAAAAAAGAACAAATAAATAATCCCTTGTGATTGTTGTTGCTCTTATTTTTACTTGGAGTAACCTTCCACCTCAGTATGAAAACGACCACCAGCCAACCCTCTTGCTTCCCATTTTATTATATATCTCTTGCAAATTATATTATTTATGTTATTTTATATTTCGTTATAATGGCGTAGACCCCACCACTGGTCACTCAAAAACAAAACCCATTTCTGGGTTTCAAAATTAGACTCCTTCCCCCATATCCAATGGAAGTGTCATCATGCTTACATTTATTGTCCTACTATAATGTGCTAAAATTATTTATATTATTTTGTTTGCCTTTTGTTTTATTTTATCTTATTATAAACAATACCGATCCTTATGCACTCTGCAGGTGCTTTTCACTTTCTGGCTTTTTGAAGAATCGCAATTGAGATTGTCCATCTTTTTTCACTTTCTCCTTGCCCTTTTCCTTTGCTCTTCTCTTCTACTCATCTTCACATATTGGAAATAACACCTTGATCCATTTCTCTCAAGGGAAAAGAACATAAATCTTGCAAAACGTAATATAGATTCACTCCTTACAATGAAACAAATGTATTTAAAATAATTTTGGAGGAATTAACTAATTTTCGAGTACACAAATTCGTTACACAATGTGATTAGAAAATGTAATCCTTTTGATACTACTCTTATATTTAAAGTGCGTCGTATCAATCCACCTAACTTTTCCGTCGCAACAACTTTCTTTTACTATTGAACCATTTATTATTCCAATAGTAATTTTACCCTTACATAATAACTCTTTTTTTCATAGCTATGGATAGTCGGAGAGTTCACACGGTTAATTTGGGACCTGTCATGGCAGCACCCTTTAGCATGACTTTCTGCCTAGTCAAAATCTATTTCGCCCTTTAAAGATTATGTTACAGAAAGATAACTTTAGGATTAAAAATTGTAGAATTACAGTAGAAGTGAAAAAAAAAAGAAAATTATGCTTTTGGCAAAAGAAAAAAGAAAGAATATGTTTTGTTTGATATTAGTCTGTCTGTCATGTTCATATGCTACAGTAGGTGGGGCAGAGAATTCAGAGCGGAATTTAAGTGCAAAAGGAGCAAAGTTCACAAGAATTTGATTGTAGGAAGAGAAGAGCTCTTGGCGTATGCAAGCAAGCTGCTTCTGATGCATTTTTCTTTCCTTTTTTTGTCGTTATATATCTTGGCATTCATGTCATTCATGGTCCTTTCTTTCTTCGAGCCCATGTCTTCATTTATTTTATTTTTATGAGAGAGAGAGAGACAGAGAGCGAAGAAGGGGGTGGGCTTAATTGGCATGGCATGGGCATGGGGGTGATGATGAGGTTTCTTTAAGCACCTGCACCGAATGGTCTTGTCCATCACCACTTCGGCAGTCGGCATATACAGAGCTTCTATTGAACCGTATCTCAAATAAATTTATTTGAGAGACGCTGTTGTAGGGCCCATTTTATATTGTATTTTACTAATTTAAATAATTTATTTTTTAAATAATAATTTAAGGATCATATCTACAAAAAAATCACTTGAAGTCCGATATTATTTACCCACTCAATTGAGTTATTGAAATTTTAGTACTTTTTTGAAGCATCGTGTTCATTGATTTTATAGGACACAATTGGATATCGAAATAGTTTTCGATTTGTCTAATTTTTTATAAGAATGATCTATGAATATAGACTTAACAAATAAATAGTTTGGATCGTTGAAAAAAAATTCATAAGGGATCCTAAAGAGTTTCTCTCAAATAAAATTATTTGAAAAATTCCTCAATAAAAAGGAATTGCAAAGAATATGTTCAAGCCTTTAGTGATTTCTTTATTGATGATAATGTAAATATCTATATGTTGCATATATATATAAGCATTGGTGTCCCAAGCAAAGGTACCCCCACCCCACATGCCCTTGTTTTATAGGGTAGGCACAAAAACTATACGGACAAAATACGGTAACACGTGAGGAGTTGTCCAATTTGCAGCACCATGGATTTATGAACTTTATTTTTGGTGGGTGTACATATTCACATCACATGCAGTACTTTGCTATTATATATATGGTACACTCCTTTATCACAATATCAGTACATAGGCTGTCCTTGTTGGAATGATGTAGGAGCCAGAACATGAGAAAAACAAAGGGAAAATTCAAGTTAGGGGCCATATGTTTATGTTATATACAAGAAGTTAGGAGTGACTATTTGTAAAAAAATAAAATAAAAAAAAAAAAAAAAAAAAAAAAATGAGGAGTTTATGAGATAAGTTGTAAATTCAAGGATGCGAGAACACTCTTGAGTTTATCTTAAGTGGGTGATTTTTCGAATGATTGCAATTTATACATATTTGGGGTTTTCCTTCTTATATAGTTGTGAGTTGCGAGGATTTTTCTTCAATGTATCCGAGATTTATCTTAAGACTTTTTACCTAACGAGTTAGTAGTGAGTTGTGAGGGTTTCTGAAGTTAGGGGCCATATGTTTATGTTATATACAGGAAGTTAGGAGTGGCTATTGTAAAATGAACAAAACGACTTCGAGAAGTTATGAGACAAGTTGTAAATTCAAGGATGCGAGAACACTCTTGAGTTCATCTTAAGTTGGTGGTTTTTCAAATGATTACAATTTACACATATTCGGGGTTTATCTAGTCATATAGTTGTGAGTTGCAAGAGTTTTTCTTCAATGTATCCGAGATTTATCTTAAAACTTTATACCTAAGTTATTAGTGAGTTGTTTGGGTTTTTGAATGATTGCAATTTTCACATAATTGAGGTTTACCTTAAAACTTTGTGCTTAATGAGTAGTAGTGAGTTGTGAGGGTTTTCCTTTTTACCAAAAGAAAAAAGGGGACTAAACAATAAGGTGTGAATTATAAAGATTATATAATTTATTACTTGACATGTGTGGTTTACAGGTGATTGTAAATTGCACTCTTATATCTTGTTGATGATAACTAATTGGATAGTAAAACATTTCACTGTTTTGAAAAAAAATTTAAAGTCACATAAATTTGGCGAACCCCAACCAGAATTGCAAATCAATTTTCAGAAGGGCTACTCAGTCCAAATCAAATCTCATTACCCAACTTGAGGCCATCTTGAAGACGACGGTCAAATTGAGAGGTGATCTGGATTAATGCTCTCATTCTGCAATTTCTTTGCCGAGTCCTTCCTATCTCAGCTCAGCTATACATTCTTGTAATGCCAAGCCTCCTGGCAAATATATATATGCTTTTGGCCGTGTAATAAGATCTTTAACTAATTTGGGGATTGAAGGACAGCCAGTTCGTATTTTTTTCACTTGAAAACAAAGCGAACCAATACTTGATCACTTCCCTTTGGTCTATATGAAAATGATATATCTGCAATCACAACACCACAAAAAAACTATACGTAATTGACCAAAATTGGAATTCTTTTAGAGAAATGTTGTATGTAATAAGTAATTGACAAGAGGTAGGTAGGTACAAAGAATTTGCGTAGTTGACCTTTCTGTAATATGTATTAGTGACGATAAAATCTCACATAAGTTTTTGTAAACTTTAAATCTCACGTCAATTTTTAACTGAGATTCCAACGAAATGACTGACAAACATATTAAATTGGTATGATACATTTGTATGAATTTCATTATGCCCACGAGACTCAACCCTTTTTCTTTAGTTAAAGAATTTTAATCGCAATGGTCTTTAAACTAAAACTACCAAGTATATTATACAATATTATAATACTGTAGAATATACTAGTATCGCTCTTCTCAATAGAAAAAAATTCCTTTAAAAAAATGTAAAATAGTGATTACAAATTTACGAGGAATTTCTTAGCTACGTATGCATGACGGCAAACCCATTAGATGATGAGAACCAACCAGTAAAATTAGAGGATGAGGCTTGAAAAGAAGATATCACTAAATTTATTGTTTAACGTAGTAGGTAGAAGATAAACCAAAACTTGTGCAGGGGGGGATGGGGACATAATCAACAAGTATTTGATTAATGTTATGGTGACAAAAAAAAATTAAAAAAAATATAGAGCTAGCTGTGCTTTTTACAGGTAGCAAAATTGGATGACTTTCTTGTGATGTTCTAGAAGGGAATCGGCATATGGAATTACTTATTGGATTTAGTGTTGCAGCTTTAAGCCCCACTCCCCTTTATTTTTTTTGGTGTTTTAATATTTTATCCCTTCAAATTTCAACAATGATTAAGATGGGATGATCAAATAATTATGTTTAATGATTCCGACTCAAATGATCTCTGAATGAGACTTAGAAAGTAAATCATTTTAACCAACCAACCACAATGAGATATCCTCAAATTAATCCTCAACTTATACCTCCTAGAAGTGGGTGCTTAACATTAGTGTCTGATTTTTTTATTTATAAATAATTCCATATCGTTTTATAATATTTAAATAATAAAAATGTCATTTGCATTTTCATATGTATTTTTGCACTTGTTTAGCGCAATACACAATATAAATTAGTTTTCGATCTAGTGGTACATCTTCTTTTTAAGGAACTTTGACAGTACGAGGGAAATTCATTGAGAAACTCAAGGAATACAATGGAGAGGGCATACTCATATTTGTATTATATTAGAAAAGTTAATCTGCAACTTATTCAATATCGTAATGCACACGGTGGAATTAGATATATAGATGATCTTACACTCTATGCTAAGGGAATTTGTTTGATCATTACACTCCACATGCAATTTTATCGAATTTTATTACCATTGGTTTGTCTATTATGGCGTAATCTCTGTCTTGTTTGTTACTCCAGTTCATACATAACAGGATTTTACTTTTTTATTTTATTAATCAGAATTTCTTGTCCTCTTGTATTGTTCAGGGCTTTTCATTTATTTTTATTTTCAATAAAAAAAAAATTACACATAACCTTTAAGATGCCAGTTAACCATTGGTGGTAGTAACAAGAATTTTGACACGATTTGACTTAAATGGTTTTCTTTTACTTTTGTTTAAAAATCTTAAAGGATGATGCCATGCATATTGACTTTCACAATTAATTAATTAATTAATTTGGAATTACTTTATGGCTCCGATTCTATGCATTACATCGTGCTGAACTTACCAATCAAACGAATTACGCAATTAGCGATTGTGAGAGAAACGTTCCATGCATAATTGTATTTACGGATATCACCAAAAAAAAAGAAAAAAAAGAAGAAGAATAAAAAGAGGTCGGTTGTAGCTTCTAGGTTCTAGGAAGGGAAAGATTGAATGATGGGCAATGGCTTTGTCAAATGCTGGTGATTTATTTTCTACAGTTGGGCAGTGGTGGTGGCCCTTTGCATCGACGGCATAGGATTAGGAGGGTGCCAAAGCCAAAGACAGAAAAGCCAAGAGTTGTGGTAGAGAATAATAAGCTTGTGCAAAGATACGACCCATTCAGTGATATATACTGATAAAGATGGGTCCCTTCTACCTTGTTTGACAAACTGTAGTTTGAGTCTCCGACAGGATATATGAAGCGTAGATTTCTTCACAGACACTGTCCAATCCACTGCTCTTTCTTCAGCCTTGGGTACTTCCCTAAACAAAAGAATTATAGAAGTTCAAAATTTCGAAAGATTTGTGGTAACAACAGTCGCCATGTATAATATGTATGGGAGGTTTTTGATCCGTAGTCTACGGTTACGTAGGTGATTAATCTTAGCAAAATTGTTTGTACATGGCTAATTCAGGGAGCAAATTTGAATTGCACTGTTGCTGTAACTTAGAGAACAAGGAAATTAAAATGGGTAGCTAGGGCAGGAAGTCATGGACCTACTTTTTACTTAAGGGTTTGACCCGTGTAGTAGAAGACAAATTAAAGAAGCAAATTGGAGTGGTAAATGTGTGGCTTCATTTGATTGGATGAAGAGACATATCATCATTGACCATTCATTCACTTGATGGGTAATTGTTTGATGTCTATTGATTTGATAGCGACTCTGTGGAGCCCTAATTGGAATTTTAACTTGATGGTTATTGGAAGAATCATTTTGTTATGTAGACCCGAAACAAAAGAGTCGTTTCTCCTTTCACTTCCTTTTCCTTCTAATCTGCAGCCCAATCAATCAGCTAACATCCAATCAGTCTCTCTAAATGAATGAATTTTTTTATTTTTTATTTTGTAGCCATTTTGTTGATTCTTATTTGGAAGTGACAACTTGTTCAAATTTGAGGGGGTTTTATAGTGTAAACTATTGTGTGGTGGAAGCATACTATACAATGTTTTTGAGAGCTATGGAAAGATTCATCGGGTTTATCGGATGTGTGAATTTGCAAATCACTTAGAAGAAATTATTTTCCCAGACAAGGTCTTGGATTCGAGTCCTAACATTCTTGTAGTGTGTGATTTTAATATATTATTGCCCCTCTCAAAAAAGTACGGTGTGAATTGACAACCATTTTCCCATTGTGTTTCTCATAAGGAAGGCATAGTTGGGGAACTCTCCAGGGATTACATAGTACCTGTGAATCCAATCCAATCCAGTTTTCAAGCGAGTTGGGATTGTTTACGAACGCTATCATGGTTAGCCCATGAAACCCAATGGGCCCTTAGTGCACCCAAAATAAAGCTTGGCACTGAGAAGCACACCTTGTTTTACATGTCCTTGTTTTAATTGGAATTGGAAATGGAAATGGCAAGGTTTAATGCAAGCCCCACCATAACAAAGTCTTTCAATTTATTAAAATCTACTAGCTACTACATTTTAATTTATATAAACTAAATAAACATGATCCATTTACACCATATATACTACTGTTCCTGTATTTATTAGTAAAGATAAAGACACATTAACAGCACATTAAGTCTCCTTGTTCGGTACCAACCAACTCACAAGTAACTGCAATCTACTGGAAATGGGAAATACGAGCAAAAGCTGCACCATACCATTGATGACTGGATTAAAATGGATATGGAATTGCGAGACATCTATATCCAAATTGCCATGTTCATCTGACGCATCCACGATGTTAGGGTTGATCTTATTCTTCCGAATAATGCTGGCATCTTGCCCTCGTTACAACCAACTGAAAGCGTAGATTTAGTGCTTGCCTTTTGGATGGTATTAAGGGATAGTTTGCTGCAAGCCTTGAGGGCAGTGGTGCCATTATAAGCATTGCAGACGTAGGTCAGAAAGTTTTCGTAGTCCTGCAACGGGAGAAGAAATGTCATTTCTTGAAGATCCCGATAATAGAACAATAAACTCACTACTATGAGTCAATCAAGTTGGGGAAAACATCATAGAAGATTGTTTTTCTTAAAATATATGAAGAACAGATAGAATTAAAAACTTGACAATACTCTACCCTATTGAAGCAAAAAAGAACCATCAGTAGTCCAGATACTTAAAAAATATATGCATAACCAAACCTCGGTGGCAATCGAAATGGAATTAGAAATCTAATCATGAGAAGGAAACAAACCTCATAAATTGGCAGTCCATCCACAACTACCCATGGCACATACTGATGTGGAGGCTGGAGAGCACTGGTTTCAGCTGCATACTGTAGTTCAAGCTGCCAGAGAATAATTCCACTTATATTGTGTTCCTTTTTTCCTTTCATTAAAAATCACAAACACCAAACAAGGAAAAGAGAAAAGGGGTTTGTATTGTCCCTCTCAACAGAATAACAGAGGTTTCAAAAAATGGCCTGATTAACAATCAGTGAAATGTCAAAAAAGTTTTACAAGAGGTTTGATTCTTGTTAAGATACAATAAAATAAACAGATGCATTACAAGAGCATGTTTGAATTCTATGAACGATTAATAAGCTAAAAAAACTAACCTCTTTGCCAAGTCCACTACTGTAGCATTCAGCAATAGGTTTTGAATCCAGACCCAGTTTCTCATAACATGACTCCCACTGGGGATACTTGTGCTCGTAAACCAAACTCTCAATGCAATAAATGAAAGGAAAATGATCATTCTGCATCAAGGTGACAGTGAACCAAATGTTAGCATTTCAGCTTGAGCATTACTTTCTATAGTTCCAACAACACTCCATAACTGGCATTTGACTTGGAATACGTTTCTGTGAAACCAACCAACAACCCTATCCTATATATGTAAGGACACTGAACTATCCAAGAAGATTGAAAACTAATTACATAATGAATCCAAGCAAATTTCTCGAAGAATTCATTAAACAAATCTAGAAGGATAAACCACCAACGCCGAAAATTTCGATAACTAACATCATTGCATCATGACATACTTTGCAGGAATGCCAAAAATTATGTGTACTTGGGAAGTTTCTTTATATCTAGCTTGATCAAGTCTTACCAGTGCAGGCCAGATCTTGATGGCACAGGCTTCCACGGTGTTTAATAAGCATTCAGATGGACCATGCTGCAACCATCACAAACAAGTCAACCGGTCTGAATGCAATTGAAATTCATATCAATTACATCTACAACCCTCAGAAACCATAAATTCAGCAAGAATAGACAAAACCCACATGCAAGAAGTGAAGGACAATCACTCGGGTTGAACAACAATGGTTAAGAAATTTATTATGTTCCACCACCAATTTACGGGCAATCATTTAGAGGACCAGTCCATGAAATGGCATCCTTTCATAAAACCCAGATACAAAATTTAAAAGAAAAAAAAACACGGAAAGAATAAAAGGACCTGGCAACTGAAGGTGTCATTGCTTCTGAGCTTGGCATTACCCCAAGGAGAAAGATTGAGATCAACAATGGAAATGAGGTCATCTTCAAAGAGCTTGACCAGGTAATTGACAATAAAGTTGGCGCTGTAAGGGCAAAGGGACTCATAGTACAAAGCCAACGAAACTTTTCCAGAATCAGAAGGCAGAGTTCTAGCAGAAGAAGAAGCGGGTGCGAACAGAGCAAACAACAAGAGGTAGGGTAGAAGAGAAAAACAAAGGGTTCTACTTTCTGTGCGAGAGGAAGCCATTGAAGCAATAAGAAAACTGAGAAAGAACAGAAAGCTTATCCGGTTTTATGATTATGAGGTTGTCAGTGAAGCGTTAATTTCGCCATTTGTGAATCCTGTTAAACAGAGCAAGAGCCAAAGATCAAGTCAGAGATTTTGCCTTTGCCCAAAATTGGTGGATTACAAGTGGCAATTTAGACAAAACAGTTGGCAGGTTACTTTTTCTTTCTCTTTAAACAGTTGGGTGGCTGTTTATAGTTACCTAAACACACGTAAATTCCAAAATTCATGGTCTTAAAAATTCATTATTATCCCTTTTATTTTTTATTTTTTATATATATTTAAAAAAAATAATTAGATACAATATTTTCTCCATCTCTTCCTTCAGTGCATTTTAACCAAAATGTTCATATAAATAATGGGTTTCCCTCTCTTTTTTCTTTTTAATTAAGTTTATAGAGAAAAATGACATTACTGACGGAAAAGTGGCTCAAAGGTCACCCTAGAAGCCAAGAACTAGAAATAGTCATGGTCAATGAAAATGAAAAGTTTCAATGTTGCCATTAGGCCAATAATATTAATTAAAATTATTGTTAATAGAAACAGAAAGCAACAAGAGAGAGAGAGAGAGAGAGAGAGAGAGAGAGAGAGAGAGACCTGGCAATAGATGGTGTTGTTGGATCCAAGCTTGGCGTTGCCGTAGGGATAGAGCTTGAGATCAACTATGGAGATGAGCCCACTTTGAAAGAGCTTGATCAGATCCTTGACGATGAAATCTTCACTGTCGGGACACAGGGTTTCATAGTAGACATCAACTCTGACTTTGTTGCTCTCAGAAGAAGTTGTGGTTGTTGGAAACAGTAAGACGGAACAGAGCAACAAGAGCAGAGGATGAACACAAGTAAATGAGGCCATTGGGACTTCTTTCTTTCTCTATTTTTGGGGATGATGCTTTTGGGCCACGACTTACAGCCACCGCTCAGAAATATTAATATTAATATTAATATTTATTTAATTAAATGCTGAAACTCCAAAAATGTATGTGACCTGAAAAATAGTCAAAATTCGAATGTAGCTAAGCTGACGGAGTGTGACGATGAATTGGGAATTGAAAAACTTGGGATCTGGGTTTTAATTTTGGAATCTTTTACCCATGAGAATAAGTTTTGCTAAAAAATTCAAATTTGCGCTCATAATCGCTTGAGTTACAAGTATAATGAATTTGATTTCTTTGCCTTATTAGCTTAATGTTTGTGAATACGAAAACAAATAAAAATTGTAGCTTTTCACCATCCGCCGCACCTTGAGCCAGTAAATGAGAATTGAGTTTGGGACTATGTTTACTTTTAATTTTAAGCAAACACCACATCATAATAGATTATAAACATTCAAATGTTGCTTATTTATTCATATACAGATTGCATGGAGGCATGACTGGTACATAATATTAAACACAATCCATTAACTATATCATTTAGGTTGCATGTCCTCACCACTTCTACAATAAGTAGGTTCCTCATAAGTTTCATATCCTTCAGTTTCGTTTATGAAATAAACCCCTTGCTCTTTAGGCTCTCAACACCATCCTTGATGATTTGATCCATGGGAATGAATTCTAAACCCAAGTTCATTAGCTTCTTCGCTGCATTTTTTTCCCTCAGCAATTCGGGTTGGGTATCCTTCGGCAAACTGCACAATAATAAACGTATTAACAGCTTCAGCAATTTCAAAGCCATGTGTTCATGGAATGAATGTAAAAGGAGTGCTGGCAGTTAATGAAGTTGCAATGAAGCATTTGATGTCTTGACAGTAATTATTGTAAAATAACAGATTTTTTCTCATTAATTTTTGGAGAAGGATTTACAAGTACTTATAGTAAGCTTTAGCAATACAGTAACAGACTAATCCCTAAAATCACTCAACCTGTCCAACTAAATACAATCACTTAGAACCATTTGTGAGAACATAATTCAGTACATTGAGCTGTAGCTGTGTTATGATGAGGTTGAGCTTGATCATCTGTTGTTTTGCTATCAATTATAACATAGGGTATCAGTTTCACGATACTGCAAATTTGACGTTCTGATGCTTATTGTTGTTATCGGGAAACCAAACTCCTAAACATAAGATATGCACAAGGTTATGGCCAAAAAAATAATATATGCACGTAGTTATGGCAAAACCACTTTACATATATATGGCAAAATATATGCACATAGTTTCAGTTGCAAAACCACTTTACAGGAGTCTAAGGACTGGAATTTACCTCAGAACCTTGTACTCAGGGTAAAGTTCAGCTACCTTGGCCACGAAGTCAACATAATGTGATATAGCTTCAACGCACAGGTGCCTACCAGTGGCCGATTTGTTCTCATACACTAAAATGTGTGCAAGAGCTACATCTTTAAAATGCACAGATCCCATAAAGAAGTTCTCATACGTTTCAGTGCAGCCTGCAGCAAAGATTGACAAGGATACTGTCAATTCTTTTTCTTTTTAAGGTTGATCGATTTTCCTTGTTACTTCAGCCATGATGTTTCTTGGGCCATTACCCTTCTGTCCAGTCCTCCACCAACCAGGAGAAGAGATAAGGTGACATGGATAGACAATTTAAGGAAACCAAAAACCGACCCTTTATTGACATAAACTATCAAACTTAAAGAGAAACATATGCTAGCAGGAACTCTGCTTGGCTCCTTATCTGGAAGGAGCCAGTCCTCTGCTCTTGCAAATCACAGCTTCACAAGTGTGCAAAGATAACTCATTAAACGCTCAAAAGAAAGAAATAAATAAATAAATTCTGCACACGTGAAAGGGTGATTTGCAGGAAAGAAGGAGCCAAGTATTTGCTTGCTAGCAAAGAGGTGCAAAAGGATTCCTCTATTGCCACACACACTCATTCTCACACAATCCACCTTCTCCAAACTTGGGGTTTAACTAGGCAAAAAACTTCAAACAAACTCAAGTGTTATAAATGAAGAAATACTTCAAGATTTTAAAAACCAAACTCAAATCTTTCTTTAGCAGAAACGTCTTTTCAGAAAATATCTAATGTCCACCGGCTTCCTGCTTCATCTACCAACTACAGCCTCAATAAGAACTTGGTCACCTTAGTCTCATGTTACCACAAATAATAAATGGGAAATGTTCTCTTACTATAGAGATGTTATGTTATCAAACAAACTGTCAATCAAATGCAAAACTATGTCTGGTCTGAATGTATGATTGTGATCGACAATTTGGCAACATCACATGGCAAACTATCAGGCAACAGAACATTACACAATAATAGAGTATTCAAATAAGACTGCACATATGAGAATTGGATGGAGTCAACAATCTACTTCCAGGTGCAATGCTAGAAGATATTCAAACACAAATGTGCAGAGAACAATACCCTCAAGAAGGCGCAATAGCATCACCATGCTAGCATTAAGCCTGGGCGAAATGACATCGCCCATCACGGTGCCAGGATTCACCACAACCACATCCAATCCCTTCTCCTTGGCAAATTCCCACGCAGCTTTCTCCGCCAAAGTTTTCGACAATGGATACCACAACTAACCAAACACCATACACAATCAGCATCACATCACAGTCCCCAATTTTCAAAATTCCGAACCATAATAACAAGGAACTTAGGCACTCAGTAACTCACTCCCTTCTGCTTGCAGTAGTCAATATCGGTCCAGCAATCCTCACCCTTGATCTTATCGGACGGCCAGCGAGGGCTGGGAGTGATGGCGGAGATGGAGGATGTCAGCACCACTCGCCTGACCCCAGCCTGCTTCGCTGCCGTCAGAACATTAAGCGTTCCTTTGATCGCCGGGTCCAGAAGCTCCTTCTGTATAACAAAAAGCACAACAATTTCATCTAAATATAATCATAATTACAAAAAATTGAGCTTCTTTATGGCGTTTTTGTGAAGATGAAGCAACCTCGGGGTCTTGGACTTGATCGACGATGCAAGGAGATGCGAGGTGGAAGACGCCGGAGCAGCCATTGATGGCGGCGAAGATGGAGTTGTAGTCGAGGAGGTCGATCTGGAAGAGATGGAGACGCGTCGCTGCTCCTTCTAGGGCTTCTAGATGCTTCGTCTCACCCTCGTCCTCTGCAACAAAAACGACACGACGACGTTTCAGACTGAACAGCAAGGAAATGGCAGTCGTGTAGATAAATGGAAAAGGCAAAGGATAAACTAACTGAGATCTTTGACGGTGGCATGGACGGTGTAATTACGGTCGAGGAGGAGGCGGACGACCCATGATCCAATGCAGCCACTTCCACCGGTAACGCATACGACCTCACCTGTCTTCGACATATTATCCTAGTTAGTACCTCTTCCGGAAGGAGAGCTTTGCTTGGTTACAGTTACTTCAGCTACTTGTTGACCAGTTGGATTTGGGCCATGTCGGAGAACCTTCTAAGACAAGCCCAAAAGAACTTCGATGCCCATATCTAATTTTTTATTTTTTTATTTTGAAGAATCGATAAAATTCTAAACTACTCTAATTTATGATAAGAGAGATTGAAACTCAGATGCCAAGAGACGGACACATTATCATGATCCACTATGGCGCCTAAAATTTAATTTGACACTGATATTTTTTTAGAATAAGTTACAATAATTTTTTTAAAAAATTTACTTTCACGGTAGAAATTCAATTACTTATGCATGCGGGTGACTCTCAATAATTGATAGGGCGGATCTTCCTTGTCACGTGCTATAGTGTGTTATAAACACTTGTTATGTTATAACTAGTCAGTGCTTGACGTTCATCCTGCCATGTTATAAGGAAATTCTCACCCGAGTTGTTCCTATCAAAGACATAAATTTTCTCTCGCAATAACTACTTAAGAGTATTATCTTCCAATGGAAAGAAGAAATTTCAAGTTCGAATCCCCTCTCTTGTCAATTGGAGAAAAAAAATTCATTATCATTACCAGTCTCGTATTGTATTGTGGTATTAATACAACAATGGAATAAGAAATTCCCTTCTACCTATTTATTTGAATCTTGCAGCAAACATTCTCTATAATCCATTCAATTTCCTCAGTTACATATCCTGTGTTGAAATTATGAAACTGAAACTGCAGTCAACAGAATAACATAATACAAAGTGATTGGCTTTGTAATTTGGCTGGTACATCCCTTTATAAACGGGGATAAATAATAATAACAATGGCTGAAGTTGAATCTAAGCAAAAACATCTGTATTACTGCAGGCCAAGATGCTATTTCTCTTCTACTGATCTGTGTACTTTTAGTCTGCAAAAATGGGGCAACATAGCAATGCCCTCAAATTCAATCATGTCTATCCAAAAACTTCTCTATCAGCACTGAAAATGCAGCAAAACCAGCACAACCAACACAGGCTGCTTGCGGACCGCCTAAAACAGCACAACAAGAAAATTGTAAGAACCTGAGATTGATATGCATCGAAGGAAATTTCACTGATAGCAGGACCATAATGAGAACAATTCCAACAAGGGTCAAATTCTTAACCACTCGGGCCAGTACTTGTATTGTTTACTCATCCTTTCACCCATGTTATACCACTTATCTTTCAGTGAGACTTAATAATTGAAAAAAATAAAACATGTACCAGGAGACAGGTAACACAGTGCAACCAAAAAGTATGCATGGTGCTGTTTAATACTGGCAATTTGATCTATGCTTCGGAAACTTGAACATCCCCAACCCAACAAAATTTACAGGGAGTTCACCATAAGAAGCAACATTGAGACTTACTCAATGACTGCCCTCTATACCCTGTCTACGCCAGGACAAGGAAGTGTTCAACTAATTAAAGGTAACCAACACTCTAAATGGTGTCTGGTTTCCTATTTGCATCTTAAGGAGCGACAAAACAGTAATAAGAAGCTGAATTTGAGTTACAAGTACGATGAATTCAATGTCTATTCCTTATTAGCTTAATGTTTGTGAATACGAAAATAAATAAAAATTGTAGCTTTTCACCATCCGCTGCACCTTGAGCCAGTAAATGAGAATTGAGTTTGGGACTACGTTAACTTTTAATTTTAAGCAAATACCACAGCAGAACAGATTATGAACATTCAAATGTTGCTTATTTATTCATATACAGATTGCATGGAGGCATGACTGGTACATAATATTAAACACAATACATTAACTATATCATTTAGGTTGCATGTCCTCACCACTTCTACAATAAGTAGGTTCCTCAAAAGTTTCATATCCTTCAGTTTCGTTTATGAAATAAACCCCTTGCTCTTTAGGCTCTCAACAGCATCCTTGATGATTTGATCCATGGGAATGAACTCCAAACCCAAGTTCATTAGCTTCTTCGCTCCATTTTTTTCCCTCAGCAACCCGGGTTGGGTATCCTTCGGCAAACTGCACAATAATAAACGTATTAATAGCTTCAGCAATTTCAAAGCCATATGTTCATGAAATGACTGTAAAAGGAGTACTGGCAGTTAAAGAAGTTGCAATGAAGCATTGGATGTCTTGACAATAATTATTGTAAAATAACAGATTTTCTCTCATGAAATTATGGAGAAGGATTTACAAGTATTTATAGTAAGCTTTAGCAATACAGTTACAGACTAATTCCTAAAATCACTCAACCTGTCTAACTAAATACAATCACTTAGAACCATTTGTGAGAACATAATTCAGTACAATGAGCTGTAGCTGTGTTATGATGAGGTTGAGCTTGATCATCTGTTGTTTTGCTATCAATTATAACATAGGGTATCAGTTTCACAATACTGCATATTTGACGTTCTGATGCTTATTGTTGTTATCAGGAAACCAAACTCCTAAACTTAAGATATGCACATAGTTATGGCCAAAAAAAAAAAATATATATATATATGCACATAGATTCAGTTGCAAAACCACTTTACAGGTGTCTAAGGACTGGAATTTACCTCGGAACCTTGTACTCAGGGTAAAGTTCAGCTACCTTGGCCACGAAGTCACCATAATGTGATATAGCTTCAACGCACAGGTGTCTACCCGTGGCCAATTTGTTCTCATACACTAAAATGTGTGCAAGAGCTACATCTTTAAAATGCACAGCTCCCATAAAGATGTTCTCGTATGTTTCAGTGCAGCCTGCAGCAAAGATTGACAAGGATATTATCAATTCTTTTTCTTTTTAAGGTTGATCGATTTTCCTTGTTACTTCAGCCATGATGTTTCTAGGGCCATTACCCTTCTGTCCAGTCCTCCACTAACCAGGAGAAGAGATAAGGTGACATGGATAAACAATTTAAGGAAACCAAAAACCGACCCTTTAATGACATAAACTGTCAAACTTAAAGAGAAACATGTGCTAGCAGGGACTCTGCTTGGCTTCTTATCTGGACGAAGCCAGTCCTCCGTACTTGCGAATCACAGCTTCACTCGTGTGCAAAGATAACTCATTAAACGCTCAAAAGAAAGAAATAATAAAAATAAATTCTGCACACATGTGAAAGGGTGATTTGCAGGAAAGAAGGAGCCAAGTATTTGCTTGCTAGCAAAGAGGTGCAAAAGGATTCCTCCATTGCCACACACACTCATTCTCATGCAATCCACCTTCTCCAAACTTGGGGATTAACTAAGCAAAAAACTTCAAACAAACTCAAGTATTATAAATGAAGAAATACTTCAAGATTTTAAACACCAAACTCAAACCTTTCTTTAGCAGAAATGTCTTTTCAGAAAATATCTAATGTCCACCTGCTTCCTGGTTCATCTACCAACTACAGCCTCAATAAGAATGTGGTCACCTTAGTCTCATGTTACCACAAATAATAAATGGGAAATGTTATCTTACTATAGAGATGTTATGTTATCAAACAAACTGTCAATCAAATGCAAAACTATGTCTGATCTGAATGTATGATTTCGATCAACAATTTGGCAACATAACATGGCAAACTATCAGGCAACGGAACATTACACAATAATAGAGTATTCAAATAAGACTGCACATATGAGAATTGGATGGAGTCAACAATCTACTTCCAGGTGCAATGCTAGAAGATATTCAAACACAAATGTGCAGAGAACAATACCCTCAAGAAGGCGCACTAGCGTCACCATGCTAGAATTGAGCCTGGGCGAAATGACATCGCCCAACACGGTGCCAGGATTCACCACAACCACATCCAATCCCTTCTCCTTGGCAAATTCCCACGCAGCTTTCTCCGCCAAAGTTTTCGACAATGAATACCACAACTAACCAAACACCATACACAATCAGCATCACATCACAGTCCCCAATTTTCAAATTTTCAAACTATAATAACTAAGAACTTAGGCACTCAGTAACTTACTCCCTTCTGCTTGCAGTAGTCAATATCGGTCCAGCAATCCTCACCCTTGATCTTATCGGACGGCCAGCGAGGGCTGGGAATGATGGCGGAGTTGGAGGATGTCAGCACCACTCGCCTGACCCCAGACTGCTTCGCTGCCGTCAGAACATTAAGCGTTCCTTTGATCGCCGTGTCCAGAAGCTCCTTCTGTATAACAAAAAGCACAACAATTTCATCTAAATATAATCATAATTACAAAGAATTGAGCTTCTTTATGGCGTTTTTGTGAAGATGAAGCAACCTCGGGGTCTTGGACTTGATCGATGATGCAAGGAGAGGCGAGGTGGAAGACGCCGGAGCAGCCATTGATGGCGGCGAAGATGGAGTTGTAGTCGAGGAGGTCGATCTGGAAGAGACGGAGACGCGTCGATGCTCCTTCTAGGGCTTCTAGATGCTTCGTCTCACCCTCGTCCTCTGCAACAAAAACGACACGAAGACGTTTCAGACTGAACAGCAAGGAAATGGCAGTTGTGTAGATAAATGGAAAAGGCAAAGGGTAAACTAACTGAGATCTTTGACGGTGGCATGGACGGTGTAATTACGGTCGAGGAGGAGGCGGACGACCCATGATCCAATGCAGCCACTTCCACCGGTAACGCATACGACCTCACCTGTCTTCGACATATTATCCTAGTTAGTACCTCTTCCGCGAGGAGAGCTTTGCTTGGATACAGTTACTTCAGTTACTTGTTGCTGGTGACCAGTTGGATTTGGGCCTTGTCGGAGAACCTTCTAAGACAAGCCCAAAAGAACTTCGATGCCCATGTCTAATATTTTATTTTTTATTTTGAAGAATCAATAATATTCTAAAATATTCTAATTAATGAGAAGGGGTATTCAAACGCAGATGCTAAAAGACGGACACATTATCATGATCCACTATTGCACCTAAAATTTAATTTGACACATTTTTTTTTAGAATACGTTTCAATAAATTTATGAAAAATAAAAATTTCTTCACGGTAGAAATTCAATTACTTGTGCACACGAGTCACTCTCAACTATTGATAGGGTGGATCTTCCTTGTCACGTGCCATAGGGTGTGTTAAACATTTGTTATGTTATAACTAGTCAGTGCTTGACATTCATCATACCATGTGATAAGGAAATTCTCACCCGAATTTTTTTCTATGAAAGACATAAATATTCTCTCGCAATAACTACTTATCTTCCGATGGAAAGAAGAAATCTCAAGTTCAAATCCCCTCTCTCGTCAATCGAAGAAAAAAAAATCATTACCATTACCAGTCTAGTATATCGTGGAACTAATACAACAATGGAATAAGAAATTCCCTTCTACCTATTTATTTGAATCTTGCAGCAAACATTCTCTATAATCCATTCAATTTCCTCAGTCACATATCCTCTGTTGAAATTATGAAACTGGAACTGCAGTCAACAGAATAACATAATACAAAATGATTGGCTTTGTAATTTAGCTGGTACATCCCTTCATAAACGGGGATAAATAATAATAACAATGGCTGAAGGTGAATCTAAGCAAAAACATCTGTATTACTGCAGGCCAAGATGCTATTTCTCTTCTACTGATCTGTCGTACTTTTAGTCTGCAAAAATGGGGCAACATAGCAATGCCCTCAAATTCAATCATGTCTATCCAAAAACTTCTCTATCAGCACTGAAAATGCAGCAAAACCAGCACAACCAACACAGGCTGCTTGTGGACCGCCTAAAACAGCACAACAAGAAAATTGTAAGAACCTGAGATTGATATGCATCGAAGGAAATTTCACTGATAGCAGGACCATAATGAGAACAATTCCAACAAGGGTCAAATTCTTAACCACTAGGTCCGGTACTTGTATTGTTTACTCATCCTTTCACCCATGTTATACCACTTATCTTTCAGTGAGACTTAATAATTGAAAAAAATAAAACATGTACCAGGAGACAGGTAACACAGTGCAACCAAAAAGTATGCATGTGCTGTTTAATACTGGCAATTTGATCTATGCTTCGGAAACTTGAACATCCCCAACCCAACGAAATTTACAGGGAGTTCACCATAAGAAGCAACATTGAGACTTACTCAATGACTGCCCTCTATACCCTGTCTACGCCAGGACAAGGAAGTGTTCAACTAATTAAAGGTAACCAACACTCTAAATGGTTTCTGGTTTTCTATTTGCATCTTAAGGAGCGACAAAACAGGATTAAGAAGCTGAATTTGGTTATAGATGTGAACTTCAGATTCTAACTATGATACCAGAGAAATTATAAAGGTATGCAACCTCTTATTTTAAAATTATTGTAACTTATTATAAAATGGTTAAACAACAAAGGATCCATCTATAATGTATGACATTATTTAACTACTAGAATCCCTTGTAAATAAACATGTTGACTAATGAATGAATTCCGTGAACAGAAGCAATCATGTAGCTTCTGAAAGTAAATGTTAAACATCAGCTCAATATTGATTGGAAAACGGACTGTGGGACCATTTGGGGGAGGGGGAGGGCGTGTATCTGCGTTTGACTGATAGAGCTAGAACAAGGCACTAACCCCTTAGGCGTCTCCAGCCAGATAATTGATGTATTCAATGGCATAAGTCTCATCCGTTTATGTTTGAAGATGTTAAATTTTTTACAAACATCATTCATCAGCTCTGTCAAAATAGCATTTTACTTGTCTTCCCCATCCCTACATCTAAATGAAATCAGTTCAGACCAGCAACTCAAATTAACAAATGCTCTGCCAAAGAAAAGATGGGACTATTCAATTTCACCTTCCAAAGGAGAAGAAAGGGAAAGCAAGTGTGCAGGTAGAATCATATGGTGATATGCCTGAATGCAGAGTTGACAATAATCATTATATAGACTACGAAATTCCTTGGATTTATGGACTTCATCTGAAGTGTAAGATCTGTATATGTCGGTTTAAAGTTTTGTATAACAACATATCACAAATTCATATTACACTTTCAACAAAGACAAAGGGTTAACAGAACAGGGAAAGGGTTACCTTTTGCTGACAGTGCACCTCCAGTTACACATCCAGCAACAACTGTATTTGTTGTGTCATGTTTAGCTCGTGCCTGAAACAATAATGCAGAATTTGCACCCATAGCAAAGATATTAAACCTCGTCAATCACATAAAAATTAAGAGTGCGAATTTTAACATATTCGGCAATACCTTTTCAACAACACACTCAGCAGCTGAGAAAACAAACCCCATAACTGCAAATGCTCTTGCAGAACTCCAACTCCTCCGGCCCATCTGCTTTGCTTGGTAAATGAACTGCTGTCTGCCAGTCATTTCGTCTTGCATTAGAGGAGTGTCTAACGCCCCAAGAAGCAAGCCCATCATCAATCCAAGCCCACCACCTACAGAATTCCAACAACATTCAAAGAATTAGCCATCAGTATAATTAGATTTCAAGATCCTAATAGCCTAGATACAGCCACATCTACAACAACATACTTATACATTTATACCATTGGTTGCTTAAGAAACAACATGGCAAATAAAACAGAATAAATTTCCAGCGGCACCTACTATTAAGTTCTGTACAAATACATGCAAAACTTCAAATTCATTGTTTTTCACAGCCAAAATCAAAGTACAACGTCAATGTAATGACCTTGTGGTAGAGTTCGCTAAATTGAGCAAACCCCAACACTCAACTCAAATGCAGAGAAATGAATGCGAGGTGATGAAATCAATGAAATTTAGTTTCTTTTTCTTTTCCTTTCATAAATACAACCCCAGGTATTAACAAACTTGTGAACGACTAAATCTAGCACAAGAACAAGGCTACACAGAGGTGACTTTTACGCATTCTGAAACCCACAACAATCTAATTCGAGACAAGAGACAAAAAAGAACATAACTTTCCCACGTTTTCTCAGAAAAGAAACATAGAATAAGGGGAAAAACTCAAACCCATGTGAGAAAATCCAAAAAATGAGGGAAAGGAAAGAACTTTAGCCATACCCATAACTCCACTGACAACACTACGCACAGCACAGTTGTTCCAAATGTCTTGGCCTCGAATCTCCTCGACCGAAGGCAACCGTATAGGCTCAATTGGAGGCTTCTCTACTTCTCTTGAGACTGTAGATTCATTTTCCGTATTCGTGGCCATAGCTGTAGCTTGAATTAGCAGCCAAATCAACGAAAGCCCATATACTATTCTGTTAAAGAGAGGGTGAGGAACGCAGAAGTGGATCAGTTAAAAAGGGTTTGAAGCTTCGCCGCCATAGAAGTGAGTCTCTGAAACCAGTGTAGGAAGAAAATATAACCTTGGAGTTGTTGACGAGGCTTGGGGCGCAAGAGCCTTGGGAAGCAATTTACCCGCGTGCCGTGTCTTCCATCTAAATTTTAATGGACGAACCTACTTGTTTTTCTCTTTTTCTTTTTAGCTCTTTTTAGTTCTCTTTAACTTTCCTTCTTTAAGTTTTAGGACTAACGACCCCCTTAAAGTTTAGGTGCCGTATCAAAATGGAACATGAAATTTCAATTTCATTAATTTCATAAAATTCTTTAAAACTATTATAAAATTAAAAAAATTAAAAACATGAAGAAGAAAAAAACCTGCACCAGTAACCCCTTCCCTCTCCCAACCCCATGGCTTTCGCCGTCGACCCCCTTGACCTTGACCCAACCCCACAAAAGGTAGAAGGCCAAGCGATCTGACAGACCTAATGGAGCTCTGAATTTTCTCACCAACCTTAGATAAATCCATCCCACAAAACATAAGAAAGAAGCCAAGTGTTCAATAGACTTCAAAGGTTCTAATATAGTGAAAAAGAGCATTGACTTGCAGACAAGAAATTTCAAGTTTGAATTTTCATAATATCTTAGTTGTGTTTATAAAAAAATCATGTCCCCCTAGTTTTAGACTACCGTTTGTACTAAAAAAAAATGAATTAATAAAAACAATTTACAAATGGATGTGGCTAAAAATGGGATGCTACTATTCTACCCTCCCAATATGTTCCACATCCAATCAGGTCCGTCCACGTTCCATCCCAGTCTGAGCACGACCACACGGAATCCTCGCTCTTTTCCTTCCCCGAACCCTAAAACCCCCTCTTTATTTCATACACCCATATAAATCTTAGCCTCTCCGCCGCTTCGTCCCTGTCTTCTTCAGCATCGCACCTCCTCCTCATTCCCACCTAGGGTTTCGGCATCTGCCTCTGCTAAAATGGTACACCCTCTTCCTTCTATCTTTCTCTGTATTTCTTTTTTGTCGTATGCATCTGAAGATCTCTGTTGTGTGTATAACTGTGGGTTTATGCTTCGTGTTACAGGCTAGAGGATTGAAGAAGCATCTGAAGAGGCTCAATGCCCCAAAGCATTGGATGCTCGACAAGCTTGGGGGTGCTTTTGTAAGTAAACCCTCCCTCCCCAAATGAATAAAGAAGAAAAAATTTCAATGAAGTTTCATTTTTGGTCTCATTTTGATTTGGGTTTAACGTAATTTTCTGCTTCAAATCTTTGTCTAGGCTCCCAAGCCATCATCTGGGCCTCACAAATCTAGGGAGTGCCTTCCACTGATCCTCATCCTGAGGAACAGGTTGAAGTATGCTCTCACATACCGTGAGGTCGTTTCCATTCTCATGCAGCGTCATATTTTGGTTGATGGCAAGGTTAGGACCGATAAGACCTACCCTTCTGGATTCATGGGTAAGTTCAACACTTTCACTAATTGAGTACCATTTTGTTACTTTGCAGATTCATTTTTGTATAAGATTTAGTGGTAGAGTAGAACTATAACATGAAACAAGTGTGATCCTTGGAAATGTGCTGAAAGTTTTGTTGTGTTGTTATATCTACAGATGTTGTTTCCATCCCAAAAACAAATGAGAACTTCCGTCTGCTTTATGACACCAAGGGTCGGTTCCGGCTCCACTCAATTAGAGATGAGGAGTCTAAGGTTGGTCCTTGTATATCATCTCTCTTTAGTTTTGCGGAAATGTTATTATGTTCTAACTTATTTAATATATAGCCATTGTATATCAGTTTTATTAACAAATCTACCCAACATGTTTTATCTGTGAAATTGGTTTAATAGCTAAAGTGTAGAAATATACTTTTGTCAAAGAAAAATATGTTAACAGTCATCTTCTGTGGAAGAAAATATCAGAGATTCTACTAGGAAGAAACGCTAATATGACCATGGAAGTATTCATGTTAGTCTAACTAGTTGTCTGGAGGGCGTTAGTTTTGTATTTCTAGTGATAGATTAAATTGCCACCAATTGTATTGATCAGGTGCATTGGTGTTCCTGCTAACGAGTGGTACAAATAAGAAGTCTACGAGCTGCAACACTATGTTTGTTGTCTTTCTGTTAGTTGTTTCTTGTATTTAGTTTTGCTTAGCTTTATGTTCATTATGCTTTTGCAATATTTATGATGTCAGTGACTTGAAGTACTTTCTGAAATGTATTTTGTTCTGTTTTATCTTATATTATTGGTTAGATAGTTAACTATATCTGACTCCGCAATATGATTTTCCTGAGCAGTTCAAGCTATGCAAGGTTCGGTCAGTGCAGTTTGGGCAGAAGGGCATCCCCTATATTAACACTTATGACGGGAGAACCATTCGCTACCCTGACCCCCTCATCAAGGCCAATGACACTATCAAGCTGGACTTGGAGACAAACAAGATCACCGACTTCATTAAGTTTGATGTTGGAAATGTTGTCATGGTGACTGGTGGAAGAAACAGAGGTCGTGTTGGAGTCATTAAGAACAGGGAGAAGCATAAGGGAAGCTTTGAGACCATCCACGTTCAGGATGCCACTGGTCACGAGTTTGCTACTCGGCTTGGTAATGTGTTCACCATTGGCAAGGGTACAAAGCCTTGGGTGTCTCTTCCCAAGGGCAAAGGTATCAAGCTAACCATCCTTGAAGAGGCAAAGAAGCGACAAGCAGCAGCCCAAACAGCTGCTACTGCTTAAACAATATGGTGGCAACTATAGATTGTTGTTCCTACAGTTTTAGATGGTACTTAGTTGAATCAGTTAAGCAGTTTGACTCTTTTCAGCTTATGCTCAGAGGATTCTATTTTCTTTCATTTTGCGGCCCTGCTTTGTGGATTATTTAAGTTGCAATACTGGCTTGAATGTTATTATGTTTTGTGCTGGAATGAGATGTATCGGACCAATTTTAATTGACTTGCTGCTTATGTTATTCGGATGTTTTTGGCTTTGCAATATCACTTGTTTTTAGCTTTTATTTTCTCATATTCATTGAAACAATTTTTCTGATGCACCAAAGCTCCATGTACCTCCTCTTCCATTAAAAGGAATAATCATCTTGCAAACATTTATTTATTTATTTCATTTAAAATTATAGAGGCACTGTACTTCTGAACTTATTTTAGAAGTAGGAATTTAGAATTTGCTGCTAATATTGTGATTGTCTGGCTAATGAGAAGGAAAAATGGAAAACAGTGAACTATGAATTATTTTAAAAAAAAATCAATGACCTGGGTAACTCATCCACAGTGGGGATGTGTAAATTTGGGGGTGTAAAGTCACTTTTACATCCCCTTTATATAAAGATGTATATTTGATTTTGTGTTATTTTGTGTGTGTGTGTGTTAACATTTTGAAATTAATTTTGTGTGTTAGATTTATTTTATTTTTTTAAACAAATAAATTTTAAAATATTTAAATTCAGATAAGTTATGAAGAGTGGTGATTTTTGTGAACAAAGGTTGTGCTTATCTATATATATAAAGCAAAAGGCAAAGAATGGTGAAACATTCAAAATACTATAAAATGTCATTGGTTAATTCAAACATTAAGAATTGAAATTATTAATTAAATAAGGATAATATGTTAAATTCATTTTTTTCATATTTAAAAAAATTAAAATTAAAAACAAAATCAGATAATATATCCTACTTTTATGGAACATAACTACCCATATTATCTTTTCTTCATTCTAAAAACTAGCCTCTCCACACGCGCTTCCGCGCCTGCGAGATGCTTTTTTAAAAAAAAATTAAATTTATTTTAGAATTAAAAAATATAATGGGTAGTTGTGTTCCATTAAAAAAGGATCCATTATCTGATTTTTTTTTTTAATTTTAAATTTTTTTAATATGAAAAAGTGTGAATTTACCATATTATCCTGATTTAATTAATAATTTTAATTCTTAATATTTGCATTAACCAATGATATTTTCTAGTATTTTGAATGTTTCACCATTCTCTGTCTTTTACTTTATATATATAGATAAAATAAAAAATAAAAAATAAAACCAATCATGCCTGTGCCAAGGGGCTAGTATATAGAAAATTAGAAGAGAACAAAAATTAGGCCCTTTTTTGCATCAATTTCAGACAATTAGATGATTTTGGGGTTTGTTTAGAAATTGTTTGGGCCTTTAGATTAATGATTTTGGGGTTTGTAAACAATTAGAACCGTAGGATGTTTTATCTGTTGTAGCACCAATTCAAATGCCATTCAATCAAGCGCACTAAAAGCATCTCCAACTGATGTGTCAAAAATGATACATAAACATTTAACAGTTAGAAATAACATTTCACATCACTCCAACCGATGCGTCAAAACTGATGTGGAATGAAGACTGGAGGTTGAGATGTTATTTTTGATATCCTAAAAGCAATATGTTAAATGAATATTTTATTATTTTTTAAAGACAGATGGCTGTTACTTTCATTTATTATTTTATTTATTTATTTCCTTCTTTATCTTAAATTATTTGACTGTTACAATAATTATTTATTTGATTTATCGGGTAGAGTGTAAAACTGTGTAAATGTCAAATTGCCACATCAGCCATCAAATTTAAATTTGATGTTTGATATTTGATATCTCTCTTGGAAATGCTCTAAACCACAAGTGGGGCCTAAACTAAGTTATGTTGGGCGACTGAAGTTGTATTTGCGAGTGTGGGGTGCGTAATTCCAGAAACTTTGCTACTTTTCTCTATCCTTTCTCCTCCTTTATTAGTCGTGGGACCCGCTTATGGAATGTAAAAAAAAAGAAGTAAACTTCCATTTTTTTTTTGTATCTCAGCCTGAGAATGCAAATGTACAACCATTTACATTCAATCATTGGAGCTAATTCCGACAATAGAGGATGTAAATGTGATATACACCCCCTTTTTACATGCGACCACTATGAATGCTCTAAGATAATTTTAATGATCTACGCTGGATGGTGTGATAATAACATTATTTATTTCTTCAATTGCTAATAAAAAGCTATTGAAAATGAAAGTAGAATATAAAGAACTCTAACTTGCAGAAGAAGTGAAAGTAAACTTTGAGAGAGACATGTAACAAATTAACTGTAGTTATTTTTATGGACACATATTAAGTATTAAGAATTGTGATGATAATACACCTCGAGTTAAATTGTGAGCAAAAATATTTCCAAAAAGGTAATATAAAAAAGTTAATTACAGGGAAATATAAAAAAGGTAAAAGCAGTGAATTAAGCCAAAAAGATAATTCCGGTGCCAGGAGTTGAACCTGGTATCTCAACCATGGATAATTTAATGAGCTACACCGGATGGTATTGCTAATTAGGATATATACTAATCTATTTATAGCTTAATCAAAAAGGAAAATAAAAAAATAAAAAAATATAAAAGTAGCGAATAGAGTTTAGATTAGAACGTTTGCGATGCATATTTCTTTGGCTGGCACAACAGTAGCTAGGAACTGCATAACGATAACGACACCATCTCCTAGATAGTTAATTAATATTCACTACGTTTACGTTCACCTTGCTGATAGTTGTAGCTGCCACTTTCCCCAAAATTTAGTTCCAATTTTACCTGCAAATCCCTACATTCATTGACCTCCTCCTCAACCAAACATCTTTCGCCTTCAAATGTTTAAGTTACTCATACATTTAAAATTTCACACTGTCATATAATAATACTGCTAGTTTTTTATGACATCTTGTTTATAATGCATGTCTGCCCCTGTAATGTTCCAGTATATGGTAACAACACTGCTGGTTTTCTATCATATCCTATTTCTAATGCATGTCTACCCCTGTAATGTTCCAGTCTAGAGTAATAATGTCTGTCATGTTGCTATTTATAATGCATGTCATGACACGTAGTCTTCATTTTATTTAAGGAGGTCATAAACTTAGAATCTCACTCTAATCCTCTATTGATTCGTGACTTAATCACACATGTCACTTTTAAACCGTAAATGTTTAAGGTTGGCTTAAGCATTTTGAATTACTGCCAAGTGTATTCTTTTATCTTGGCGCGGCATCTAGCATGTGTTTGATTTTCTGCTTTTTATAAGAGAAAGAGAACCAAAAGTTCATAACAATACGACGGTGGCCCACTTAAGATAGGTTGCTTAATTACCAACTTCACTTATTAATCCTGTCTTTAATGGAAACGCATGAGACCCATAATAGAAATAAAACCACTAACAAAATAATAATAAAAACTCAGGCAGCATTTTTGTCTAATAACAGATTAATCATCAAACCAAAACAAAGATCCAGCCTACACTAACTTGGAAAAATTTCTAGCTCAATATTTGAACAGAATTTAAGAATACAAAGAGAACATTAAGAGCATTTGGCATAAAACGAAGAAACGAATCAAACGATGTCTCATATTCTTGTTCTTTGTCATGCAATATCATTGAGGAGCATCTGATCAAAGTGCCAAACACCTGCAAAACAAAACCGCTTTTCAGATTTCACCAAAAAAATGTTTTACATATTTTAACATGTTCTCTCAGTTTTGTTGTCAGCCATTACCATGTCCTGCGCCTATCCTTCTCAACTGAGCTACATACTCTGAGATTTTCTTTATAGCTTCCACCTGAAATGACCCAAATGCAGTATTTTTTCAGTTTTTGTCAAAATCTAACCAAGAATGAAAATGTACCAAAAAGAGCATTAAAAGTTGCATACCTGCTCAGTCAAGAACTCACTTTCCACATAATCCGCTAAATGCACATCATTGTTTTCATCGGCTATCTGTAATATCACGAATTCTATATTTCAGAAGACAATACTAGTATGAAAACCTGTGATCATCGGATAAAGCAGCCGATTCGGGACAAAATATGTACTTCGTTTTCAAAAACGGAAATAAATTATATAGATTTTTAAAACCACAATCAAGAAACAGAAAAGCTAGCCATTTACTCTGTGTAATTTTAGAAGTTTCTCATTGTTCAACTTTTCCAAGGCCAGCGCAAGCTCCATTGCTGAGTAAAAAAGGTGCAAACATAATAAGTGATAAAATTGAATGCCACATGAACAGTAAGTAGCAGAAAATATCATGACTTACTAAATTTTAAAATTAAATTTGAACATCAATAAGTCGCATTTGTCTCTAATATGATAAAGAACTTACCATGCAATGCCTCACCCTTTTCAGCATGATCAAACTCTGAGAATGGCATTAGCATGGACTGCAGCTTAACTTTTCCTCCGCGTTTGTTCTGTTACATCAGAAAACATCAGAAAAGGAAAAAAAAAGAAAAAGAAAAAAATATTTAGAGATCAAAATTCATAACAAAATGAGTTTGGAAACTCAAAAGGAGAATGTATGAAATGATATATATTGCAGACACCTGGTAGTCCATAAGCATTTCAGCATGCTGCCTTTCTTCTTCACTTGATTCTTTGAAAAACCTGTGTGTTATTGGTATCATGAACTTAAGCAATTCAATCAATCAAAATATATCACTAGAATTAGGAAGAAAACGAAAATTAAGGGTGTAAAAAGTAATTACTTGGCAAGGCCCTTGAGAGCAACGTTGTCTCTGTCAAAGTAGGCATACATGGCGTGGTACACATAGGAGACATTGTATTCCACACTAATTCAGAAAATAAAAGTTCGGCATCAAATTGGTCAGAACTTTAAAACAGAAGCAAGCAAGTAGAAGTTTAAGAAAGAAAAAAAGGAAATCATATTTGGGTATTTCTTGTTTTCTTTGCATTAATCTGTCAAATCACCAAAACCAAACAAAAGTAGAATTGACATAAACTCTACATAAATAAAACCCAGAACCAAGAAAATATCAAAACTTTATTTTGATTGGCATACAAGAAAACATCAATCTTTTAGGAAAAGAAAAATTCTAGTGAACATGAAGAATGGAAAAAGGCCATAAAGTTGAAGACTTTGGGGTTAATTATTATAAAAATGTGGACATGGGAGATTGAGAAACTTACTTGATCTGCTCATTGATGGCAGCTTCAGATTGGTCAGAGTACTTTTGGCGAGCAAGCGAAGCATGAGGGGCAGTGGGGACTAGAAGGAGCTCCTTCTTGACCTCCTCAAAGGGCTCGAACACTGCCTCCATGGTGGCTCTGTTATTAGCTTCATTTTTGGCAAATATTACCAACCGGCCTGAACTCACATTGCCATTTTTGCGACCACCCACGTTGAGAAAATTGTTGCTCTTTGAGGGTCTAGTTAAAGCTGGACCACCAAGGCTTGATTTTTGTGGGGTTACAGATGAAGAAGAAGGGCTCAAAGTTAAAGACATTGTGCACAGAGAGAGAGAGAGAGAGAGAGAGGTTGAATGGTGTTGACGAAGATTGTGGTGGCACGGTAGAAATTTGGAGGACCGGGTCAGGGATATTAGATAGACGGGCAGGAGAGTCGTGGCTGTTGATGATGACCCACGTGGACGGTTGTGATTGATTTAGGGGATGATCGCGTGACGGGCCGCGGTCCCCGTGAAAAAGGCGGCTGTGCAAGCGTTTCTTCTAACGGTTTGGCCCGTGATTTTTGTATCTATATCTCCTGATTTATTGGGATATTTCCCTCTTTGTTTCCTTCTTTTTAATCCTTTAAATCAACAAAATCTTCAATTCGAATAGTTATATCACCTTTTCGTTCGAAGAAAACCGTTAAATATTTCTTTTTAAACCTTGAATGTTATCTAACATTTCAAAATTTATTTTTGAGTACAATAGAAAGTCTAAACTACAACGGGAAGATAATTTCTCACACATATTATCAAGATGCTATTAGAATTCGAACTTGAAATTATTGATCTGTAAGTTAGAGTCATTTTATTCTCGGCTAGCCCTTGTTGCCTTCAAAAGTTTTAACTTACACTTCTTCTTGGATGCTTATATTTATAATTTGCTTTTTATAAAAATTGGTGAGATTAATATTTTGCTTATGTTCTTTTATTTTCTTCAAACTTCAATTTTTTTTTTAAACATATTGGAATTTTAAAAAGATATTAAAGGTTTATCAGAAAGATATTTCTTTTTAACAGATTGTAATACTTATCAACGTTTGTCAATATATATTTTTTATATTGTTTATTTTATCATTATCTATTTTTTTTGTTGATGGAGTTTATCATTATCTATTAAGAATTTTTATTGGATGTAGACTCTTATTTCCCTTTATTTTAAATAAGGATAATTTTAAGTTATTTGAAAAATTAAGATTCACAATATATGAAGTATAATTATTACTTGGACATGAACTAGCAATTATCTAGTGGTATTCTCTTTGCTTTGCTGAAAGATATCCCAATTCAAAACTTTCCCTCTTCAGGGTAAAAATAAATAAAAATAATTACTCCGAAAATAGCATTTTTAATCGTGGAAATAACATATTTTCTTTATAAAATTCAAGATCAACAATGACACGACAATATTTGAACGTAAAAATTATCTCTAAATCAGCATTTTGCACACTGAAAAGTCAAAACAAAAAGAATAAAAAGTCCCATCCCATGTTCGAATGGGTCTTAAAAATGGACCACCAATTCTTTCCCTCCATATGGACGCATTTGACGCATGGATCTGGCCAATGGGCCTTTCTTCTACCTTTCGAACATGTCTGGCTGGCTCCAAATTATTCTCCATCAAACAGACAAACAACACTAGCTGCCAAAACCCCCAACCAAATTCGCGTGTCTTTATTAATTTTTCAGCATCAAGCTTCAGCCTTTAACCGGTAAAAGCAAAACCCAGAAATGCCTCCACATCTCTGCACAGTCGTCGTCTTCCTTCTGGCGACGATGGCCTATGGCGGCGGAGCCGTAGGCGTGAACTGGGGCACGACGGCCTCGCACCCATTACCGCCGACCAAGGTGGTGGAGCTGTTGAAGTCCAACAATGTGACCAAGGTCAAGCTACTCGACGCCGACCCAGGTGTCCTAGAAGCGCTTTCTGGGTCCAATCTTGTTGTCACTGTGGGCATTCCTAATGCCTTGCTTAGAACCTTGAACTCTTCTAAGAAGGCTGCTGAGAGTTGGGTTCATGACAATGTCACTCGCTACGTCTCCAATGGTGGCAGTGGCGTTAAAATTGAGTAAGTTCTTTGCCTCTTTCGGATGGGTTTTTGAATTAGATGCTGCATTTTTTGATCTTGGGCCATAGACAGTGTGTTTACTATGACCGTAATTGATTATTATTAATGCCCAGTTGCTCAAGTACATTTATTTCTGTGTTAAACATTAGAAAGAAAATATCTTTTTGAAGCTTTTATTTGCTTTGTGCTGCAATTTCTGAGAACATAAGAGGTAAAAAAATCGTATTTGTCAATCAAACTTTCGTTGCTCTTGGAGCTGGGACTTCTGCGCTATTGAGCTCAGTTTACTTTCTTTTCTATGAAAACAACCTTAAACAGGCGGAGGCCATGACGAAATATTCGTCTTGATGTTTTTGAGAGTACTTGCGTAAACATTGTGTCATGGTTTATCTTTGGTGTCAAGTGAACTAATTCTGGTGGGGGGTTCCTTAAGAATAAAGAAGAATATAATTTAATTTATGTAGGGAATTTGAAGATAATTTGTGTGTTTTTCATGGTGGAAGAATGAAAATACTAGGTGTTGGTATTTGTGTCTGAATGCTAGCAGCGGAAATCCGCTGATGGCTACAGGAGTTGAACTCTTCGAATTTGATCCGTGCTTTATTTTTTTGGCAAGTAAACCAATAAAGCAACACACTTTTTAGGACATGAGCTATGACTAGAGCAAGATGAAACTTTCCTACGTGTAATAAACTTTAGAGAGGAGCCTGTTGCCTGTGATCTTACGGGAAAGCTATTTACAAGAAAAAATTAAGCAGGAACTGGGCTTAATTGCATTAGGACTGGAAACACTCTAAAGTGAGTCTTTTTTGTTTACAGAAGAAGAAAGCTTTGCAGGATATGGCAGATGCTCTCTTTCTCCCTTTTAGGTTTAGTCAGCAATGCAAGGACAAAGTGACAAATAAATTTTTGTAGCAGGGATTTCATGGGTCATTACTGTTTAGCCTCTTAAAGCAACTACTAAACATTTGTTTTTTATTCTAATTGGAGTCAAATGGAATTTGCCCATTCACAATATTGTCATTTTTGTTAAGTATATTCTGGTTGCTAACTAGATTATTTTTCAGGTATGTTGCTGTTGGAGATGAGCCATTTCTCCAGAGTTATGGTGAGCAATTTCACCCCTTTGTCATTGGAGCAGCAATGAATATCCATATAGCTTTGGCCCGAGCAAAATTGGAGAGCAAGGTGAAAGTAGTTGTTCCTTGCAGTTTTGATTCCTTCCTGTCAGAGTCTGGCCATCCTTCGAAAGGACATTTTCGGGCTGATCTCAACAGAACCATGATTGAACTCCTAACGTTTCTCAGCAAGCACAGTTCACCATTCTTTGCGACCATTTCTCCATTCTTAAGTCACCACCAGAACAAAAACATTTCCCTCGACTTCGCTCTATTTAAAGGCAATGCAAAACCTCATAATGACAGCCGCAGAACATACAAAAACAGCTTTGACTTGAGCTACGACATCTTGGTTACTGCATTGTCAACAGTAGGATTTCCTAAAATGGAAATTGTTGTGTCGCAGATTGGTTGGCCTACAGATGGAGCAGCAAACGCAACCTCATCAACTGCAGAGACCTTCATGAAAGGCCTGATGGAGCACCTTCATAGCAAATCGGGGACCCCACTTAGACCTCGGGATCCTCCATCTGAAACATACATTTTTAGCCTCTTAGATGAGGATCAAAGAAGCATAAGCACTGGGAATTTTGAAAGACACTGGGGTGTGTTCACTTTTGATGGTCAAGCCAAGTACCATTTTGACTTTATCCAAGGTTCAAAAAATCTCGTGGATGCGCAGAATGTTGAGTACCTTCCTTCGAAGTGGTGTGTAGTGAACAACAATAAGGACTTATCCAATGTAACTGCAAGTTCTTTAGAGGCATGTTCACTTGCCGATTGCACTGCACTGTCTCCTGGTGGGTCTTGTTCCAATATCAGCTGGCCTGGAAATATATCGTATGCGTTTAATAGCTACTATCAGCAGCATAATCAGAGTGCAGATAGCTGTAACTTTGGGGGCTTGGGTTTAATCACAACTGTTGATCCGTCAGTGGATAATTGCAGGTTTTCTGTTCAACTTCGCACTTCTCTTTCAGATTTCCTTTATCCGGCCTATCTTAGCCAGTGGATGACCTTACTAGTCACAACCATTTTGTTATCCTTAACCATATTTACGTAGAAAATAGATTCCGAGGAAATTTTTGTAGAAAATAGATATCCGAGGAGATTTTTTACTGCTGTATGATCTGTCTCCTGTTCCATTGTTGCCGGTGTTTGTTGTTGTAGCTTGTAAGAGGTTTGATTACTTGTTGAAGTGCTTATTCTGAGAGCAGACATGGGCTTAGTCAAGTTGGCTAGAGCGGATGTGCTCCCCACTCTGCACTGGAGTTCGAATCCCACTCCCTGTATTGGTGATTAGATTACAGTAAAATATCATTTGTATCAAGTGCTTATTCTGTGAAATTGTCAGATGGCAAAGGGTGTTTGGAAATCAAAAAGACTTTGAGGCTCTATATTGTTTCTTGTTATCTGCAGTGTACGGGGTAGGTGTGAGTATTTCACAGATTGGTAAGGAAAAAAATAAGAGCAATGTTGGGGCCATTCCCTTTAGCTCATCCCGGATTGCATCGATGTTAGTGTGATCATGCCCATGGACTCATTCAGGTGTCGAGTTTGATCTCAAAAGGCTTCCATGAAAAGTTAAGGAGAGCTACACCACACCTTATAGAGACAGTCACTTACACATGTAAGTGGTGTGTGGCCTTGGGTGAGAGGTGGTGGTTAGCGTTCAACCTTTAGCCTTGTGTCACACTTCTTACCTTTTTATTGTTATCATCCTTTTATTTAGGAATAAGTAGACCATTCCTAGATGCAGGGCAATTGTATTTGATTCACAGTTCCTACAAAAATGCACTCGTATTTTGTGTTTTGCATTATTAACTTGAATAATTGATTAAACAATTTCTTATCTGAATGTGCAATCCAAATTGATGAGTAATTATAGTGTGGTACTCGAGTGTGGCCATATGATATAACTTGTGCACGTGTTATAATATAAGTGAATATTTATTAATATTATACTCTAAAAATGGGGAGTAGGATACCCCTATTATAATACATGATCTTCAAGTAACTTATAACTCAAATAGTTTAGAGCATTTATTTCTGCATCCGATATTGATTCGCCCTCTCCAAATATCACTTGTAAAAAAAAAAAAAAAAAAAAAAAAAAAAAAAAAAAAAAAGAGACACGGTCATATGCGTCAAAAGTATTGAATTCACCAACCAAGAAGAAAAAAAACAAAAAAGTTGTAAAGTGAATAATAATGGGCCGGAGGGCCCAACAAAACACCTACTCTAGACTTACTCTAGAGTGCTAATCGGTTTGGGCCAGAGATAATTAAATTAACATGAGTTTGAGTCAAAGTCAGCGGAGACAAAACTCTCTTCAGGACTTACCTATAAATGAAGTACAAGCCCTCGTCTGGAAATATCTTAAAATCCGAGTCTTACCCTAATCTCTGTGTCTTTCTCTCAAACCTAGATCATGGCTGGGATGTACGGTCAAGAGGGTGGCGATGGCGCCCCTCCGCCATATGGATCTAGCGGCAGTGGTGGCTATGGTGGCTCTGGAGGCTACGGAAGCGGTGGTGGAGGCTATGGAGGTGGTGGTGGAGGCGGAGGATATGGAGGAGGTAGTGGTGGTGGTTATGGAGGTAAGGGCGGCGATGGAGGTGGTTACGGTGGTGGAGGCCGTGGTGGACGAGGTGGTGGAGGTTATGGCGGCGGTGGTGGTCGAGGTAAATACAGAAAAGTTCTTTGCTTTGGTCGGTCTTTCTAAATTTTTTTTAATTTGAACTGTTGGGTTTTGATTGCAGGCGGAGGATATCAAGGAGGAGATCGCGGTGGCCGAGGTGCCGACCGTGGTGGTGGTGGCAGAGGTGGCCGCGGTGGCAGCGGAAGAGATGGTGATTGGCTTTGCCCTAACCCAGGGTAAACCCTTCCTCTTGTTTTCTTTCTCTCCTCTCTATCTAATTTGATGGGTCGTAGATTTCTAACATTGAAAGCTTTAGAATTCGGTTGACATTTCTTTATCTATATGTTTTCTTTATTGAATATGTATCTGTGGTTTTTGAAATTGGTATGGTTGTATATAGCTGTGGGAATTTGAACTTTGCAAGAAGAGTTGAGTGTAACAAGTGTGGCACGCCCTCTCCTGCGGGTGGCGGTGGTGATCGCGGCGGCGGCAGTGGTGGCGGCGGTTATAATAGGGGAGGAAGTGGTGGGGGCTATGGTGGTAACCGTGGTGGTAGAGGTGGTAATTATGATGGGGGTCGAAGTAGTAACTATGAAGGAGGTAAAAGTAGCGGTTATGATGGAGGTAGAGGGGGTAATTTTGATGGTAGAGGTGGAGGTGGTAGTAGAGGTGGTTCTTATGGCAGTAACCAAGGAAGAGATGATGGTGGGTACGGTCAGGTTCCTCCACATGCGCCGACGTCCTATGGTGCAGCTGGAGGCAATTACCCACCATCTTACAATGCTAGTTATGGAACAGATGCAGTTCCTCCTCCTACAAGCTATACTGGTGGGCCTACATCATATCCCCCATCCTATGGTGGTCCTGCGGGTGGTTATGGTGGTGATGGTCCTGGTGATGCAAGGAGTGGTGGCCGAGGTGGCCCTCCTGCTAAATATGATGGTGGGTATGGTGCTGGTGGTCGAGGTGGATATGGTGGTGCTGCGATGGAAGCCCCAGCTAAGGTGAAGCAATGCGACCAGAATTGTGATGAAACTTGTGACAATGCTAGAATCTACATATCAAACTTGCCCCCAGATGTTACTGTTGATGAACTGCAGCAGCTTTTTGGAGGCATTGGACAAGTAAATCCATACCTACTTCTGAACATAGTGAATCTGAGTATTTTTAAGTTTGAATTTAGTTTGGTTCTTTTGTATGTGGTATCTGTCATTTGAATCTAAATTATGTTGCTTCTGATTTTCTAGCTTGAGCATGGCAGTTCTCTTTTCATCTTATCTTATCTTGTCTTGATAAGGATGTCATGACATGCTTTCATTGATTTACAACAGTTCTAAGATACAATTTGTTTTTTTTTATCCTTGTAATATATGGTAAATTTGTTTAGAAACCTTTTTTCTTGGGCATCCATGTGAAATAATGAGTTATGGACTGTCTGTTGTAGTACGAAGTTAAATTCCCTTGTCTGTTCCCAGAAGTTGGTTATACATTTAAGTGGTTAGCTTATGCTGAGTTTTGTTTTTAGGTGGGAAGAATCAAGCAAAAACGTGGCTATAAGGACCAATGGCCATACAATATCAAAATATACACAGATGAATCGGGAAAAAACAAAGGCGATGCATGTTTAGCATATGAAGATCCGTCTGCTGCACATTCAGCTGGTGGATTTTACAATGGTAACAATTTTTCTTTCATCTGCATGCTATGAATCATGATGATGTCTATATAATTGTATTCTAACTGGGTATTGTGCTTATAGATTACGAGTTAAGGGGCTATAAGATCAATGTTGCGATGGCAGAGAGGTCGGCACCTAGGGCTCCGCCTGACCAGGGGTATCTATCTAACGACTGTTTATATAATTTAACTGGTGATTGAATGAGCTCCATTTGTGTTGTTCTTGTGCTATGTTGGCTTCTCACATTGTGGGCAAAAGTCAGCAAGCCTGAATATGAATCCCAGATGCTTTATATTTGCTTGGTTGTTTTATAATTTGTACTTTTTTCTTTTGGCTAACCACTGAAGGTATTGATTAATTCAATTGGAGTGTTCTGTTAATGAGGGTTATGTTGTGATTTTTGAATGTGGTTTAGAGTTGGTTATTTTCTTTTTTGGTTTTGTCAATGCTAGTTTGTGTGATGATTTATTTTAATTGGGGTGAAGTCTCTTTGAACCAAGGAGTGTCTGGTTTTCTGACTTGATTCTTGTGCAAATTATTTATCTATTTTTTCGGGCTGTGTACTGATTTATTTTTCTGTGCAAACAGTGGTGGTAGAGGTGGATATGGGGGCGGTGGGCGCAGGGATAATTATAGAGATGGTGGACCTGATAGACATCAACATGGCGGAAACCGTGCACGTCCTTATTGAGAGAATTTCCCAATCAAGCAGAATTTATGTAATGAGAATTGTTGTCTGATGGTTTTTGTTGTATTCCGTTGGAGGGTTCTTTAAACTGGAGACTAAGAGGTAGGTTGTTCACTAACCCTGAGCAAGGCCTCTGTCCTCCTGTATTACTTTACCTACAACCTGGAGGGTTTTAATTATAGGCATGGGATTGATTTAGTCGTGTGAATGTTTTTTAGAGACAAGTGGATAATCTCCAAATTGCTTGCTGCTAAGGTAGGTTGATATTTTCAGGTGAGTGCTGCTCTTTCATAACCATTATTAACACTTTTTTGGAGATTTGCCCAGCTTTGGATAGCTGGGTTCTTGATTGCATCAGATCATTTAATATATATGGCTCAGATGCAAGCATAAATAGAAGCATGTGAAATGCATGGTCATGATTATGATGTATACATTCATTTCTGACTGCAAATTTGACACCTTTATGAATAATGGCTGAGGTTGCTTAACTTGCCCTCTCTAGAGGGCCTAGATAAACCAAAATCTGTTCTTGCCCATTACTCTCATGTGGCTTGGATTTTATATTGTAATGTACTTATGTTTGGATGTACCAATCATTAAATTGGTGGCATGTTATATTACGTGATGTGTAATGTAATACACTTAACCTTTAGGGCCAGGTACAGGACTGGTTTAAATTGCTAGCTTGTTACTCGGTATAAGTTTGCAATTCTGTCAGCTATCTAAGCATTTAGTGATTGAACTGAAGTCATTGGAGTATAGTAGTGGAGGATATTGGTAACTGTCCACATTGAATAGGATCTGCTATTTTGATTTGACATTTTGATCATGTGGCGCGGAGGCTCGCCCTTGGTGATAATTTTACTTGACCACATCAGTAATTAGTGTTTAAGATCTAGTACTGTTTTGCTACATTGTCTTGATGCTCAAAGTTTGGGGTACCGGTTTCCTTTATTGATCTTCTACTTGCTGGGTTGGGCTAGCCTCTCTGGTGACTGCAAAGTACTTGTGGATGACAAGGATCTCTACGTAAAAACCTACCTTCCATTGTCATTTCCTCCCATGTGTTGCTGATCAGTGCGTGTTGTCATCTGGCCTTTCTTTCTTTGGTGGTTTGGCAGCAGTTCTTTGAGACTCCTTATGTTGAGCAACTGCTGCTGTTATTTTGTTCTAGGCTTAAAGCCTCTGTGCCAACATGAAGATAATTCTTCTTTGTTTCAATTTCGTTCTAGGGTGGCTTGTAATGACTTGGCTAGATCAGTTGGACAAAGTCAGGCGGTTGGTCTGTGGCGGGAGGTTATATGATATTGTATAGTGGCGTTTGATTGCGCTTTGTAAATCCAAAACAATTACGATTTCGTATAAAACTTTATTTTGTCGAATGTGTTTTTGTTGTTTCTTTGCTTTGTGTGAAGATTTACCTATGTTCCGAAAATTTATTCGAAAAATGAAAACAGAAATACATAAATCCTTTGTATTCCATTGCATCTGAGCGTGCAAAAGAATGACCAGATCGTGATTCATGAAGAGTTGTCTGTGTTTAGTTGATTGTGTGATAGTGAAAGAATAGACAATAATACTACTCTTGCCACATTTGTATATCATATTCTCATACCATTTTATGTGGCAGATAAGGTATACAACCACATTAATTAAAAAGTATCAATAAATCATAAAATTAAAAGAAAATGTTAAATTAGTTTTAATTAATGTGGTCATACATCTCATTTGTCATATTAAGTGGTATGAGAATGTGGTAAATGTGGCCACATATTGGTATAAGAATGTGGTATATAAATGTGATAAGAATAACATTACTCGAGAAAAACACCGTGTATTAAAATTGATGCCCTTGTCTTGACCAAATTTTTTTTTAGACGGCCGTGTCAAGGTGATAAAAGGTGGTTCAATTGAAATTGATGACAAAATTTTAGATTTTAAAATCAATAAATATTATAATACATAGACAAGTTATATCTTACGTCCTATGTGTCCTTGTCCCTTCATCCATTTGTGTTTGCAGATTAAGCATTTTTCTTTTCTTTCTGGTTCTTACCAAATGCTTCCCTTGTTATATCCCCAAGGTGATGACTGGTCACTTCACAAGAGAAAAGGAGCTTAAAATTTGATGTGAGAGGGTTGGAACTAGGTAGACTGAAAATAAAAAGTAAAAAAGCCCAAGAGGGAAGCAAGGGAAATGCAGCGCCACTAATTCAACTGCATATCAAATCTTGCTATTGCTCATGTAATTGCTGCCAAAACCTTTTGGGATGTCGAGATAATTTACATTTCTGAACCACTATAATCATTGGCAAACCGAAGAGCATAGTCTGATCTTTGGTCATCTAAACGCCTGCCAGAATTCTCATCCCATATCGTGCCTTGGTTGCATGCCATAAGAAGCATGTGACATTGGTACAGAACCATAAGGAGTGGCAGCATCAGCACCACCCCGGGCCTGAAAATGCAGAGGTCATATATGTATGTTCAAGGATCATTTGAACGAAAAAGGTTTAAAAGAACAAATTTGAAGTTTGATAATAGGACTAGGGTTGTCAGGAAGAGTAGATACAACGTATTTAAATTAATTCAAAAGAAGTACATATAATGGAACATTTTAAGTAGACAGAGCCGTCACAATTCATATATTTCTTCCATTTCTTGCCATACTTAATACAAATGTTTATGTTTCGCTATTCCATGTTCGTCCCATTGTTGTCGAGTCTGGGAGTAAAATGTCTAACAATGCCATAGAATTGCTGTTATACTAATTCTGAAGTGCAACAGATTGCCACGAACAGAACTGGGTGAACACTTCAAGTTATAAAAAGAAAAGAAGAAAAAGAAAAAAAAATTCCTCAAAAATTCCTTGTAAATATATTCTGATTTCAGGGTTCAACACAACACAACTTCCTTCTCATTTTTCGAATTTCAAATTACTCTAAACCATCTAGCACCTATTTGGTCTCAAGAAAGAAATGACGGCTGAAGTCAGATACTTTTTGATCAAGATAGAACAGTTTTCATGCCAATCTTCATGTTATTATTTGTACCGACTCCATATTTTGTAGGTTCTAAATGTGGTTATCCTTTAAGGCACTAACAATTCTTGCACATCTTTTCCAATGATTTTAATCTACTGACTAGCAACATACACAAGAGTAAGAGTGATATGAGGAAAGCATCAAGAAGCCAAGGACATACACATACCTGATGCAGCATGCCATAGGGGTCGGGGTATGCGTTTCCTCCATATACCATTTCGGGGTCGCCATAGGTTGCTGGATATCCAGGACATGCATAAACACAACCGAAAAGTCACTAAAATTCATACATTGTATTTGGGTTAGTGAGTTTAAAATAGGAAGTTTACATCAGAATTCGAAACCATAGCTCAATGGAAAGAAACAAGATGAAGGTGAAGGAATAAAATTACCTGGGTTTGCTCCAGCAGCAGCTGCTACTGCTGCCCTTGCTCTCTTCTCTGCATTGGCCAACTCCCCATGAAGTTTTTCAATCTCACGAACCAAGCCAGCCATGGTTTTCTCCATTCCCTGCCGGTACTCAAGGTTTTTAGCTCTGGTTTTCGTTTCATTCTCAATTGCAACCCTATGCATCACACAAAAAGAAGATTGAATTTTTATGTGCACAATTTCATAAAATCAAATAACAAAGAATTCAAAATCACCTTCCTTTCTGTAATTAATACTTCTTGTTCCCTAATAGCAGATAAATAACTAAATAAATAATTCATAATCTACACAAATTCTCTTCAAAGAAACTCAAAATTACCTTCCTTTTTTAATCTCCTGCTGGAAGGTCTCAATATCGGCTTTAATGTCTACCACTCGCTTCGACTCGGACCGAGTTTTCGCAACCTCTCCTTCAATCGATTGCAACTCGGCTACCAGCTCCTTGCGCTCGGAGCCGAGCTCCTGAATATCGGCGCGAGTCCGAGCCAGCTCGGCGCCCATGGAGTCGATGGTGCGAACCTCGGCGTCCAGCTTCAACGACCTCTCGTAGACCTCGCGCACCTCGGCGTCCCTCTCGGCTTTGGCTTGACCGGCGACCACCGACAGACGGCGGAGGTCGTGCTGAGCCGCTGCCAGGTCCTGCTTCAGCGCCACGTGGGTGGCTGCTAGCCGTTGATTGTCTACGAGGAGGGCCTGGATCTCACGGTGCTGGAGGCCGATACGGTCCTCCAGCGCCGTTGTGTTGGTCAGTACAGGAAGCCGGTGCAGCTGCCGAGGGTCTCGTCCCGCCATATCTCTCGATGTTAACGATTAATCGGCGGGACGGCGACTCTGACTGTTACAGAGAAACGAAGAGAGAGACTTTTGCTGCTTTTTGGTAGTGCTGGGCCTAAATGGGCTCATGAGATAGGTCCAATGAGGCCCGTGTCAGCTATAAATTCAACTCAAAAATGAAAATCAGAAAATCATTTTCCCGCCGAAATGTCAGAGATCTTTCACTTACTTGTCTTGAACAAAAGGTCTGTTCTTCTTCTCCAATCTTCTTCCTCTCTCTCTCTCTGGTGTTGAAGGGCTTGAGATTTTTCAGGTTCGACGATGCGACGCTGCGAGTATTGGAATCAGCGTTAGTTTCCAAGGACGTGAAGTCGTCGATAGAGGTCAGGTCCGGCTTGAGGCAGTTCCTGCGGTCCGAATCTCTCTCCGTTCTGAGAGAAATTTCCGAGAAAAGTGCCGAGGAGAAGCTTCTGGTTCTTGAGTTTCTCGTTCGCTCCTTTGCACTTGTAGGCGATGTTGAGGCAAGTCATCTCTTTTGTTGATTATCAAGAACTTAATTTCCCGGCGCAATTGCTTCTAATTTGAACTTTTTTGAATGTTGATTTGCTGAAATTGGTGATTTTCATGGACCTAATTAACTAATAATTGTGATCGCCAGGTAAATGCTTATTGTAGTTAAGTAGTCTGTGAACCGGTTTTTTGTTTGCAGAGTTGCTTGGCTTTGAGGTATGAGGCTTTGCTTTTGCGGGACCTCAAGTCTGCGACTAATCCATGGCTACAAGTTCCGTATACAGAATGGCTAAACTTTGCTCACCAGTCAAAAGATAGTGGTTTCTATTCTGTTGCAGGAAGGGTGAGTGTGATCGATCATCATCTTCATCACTATCATTATCAGTTTTCTTATTTCTTAACTTTTTCAATTAAGAGAGGGCTTTTTGTGTGGAAAGTTGTGTTCTGATTTTGAGATCATCATGATTGATTTAGTAGCCAAGTCTGTAATCAATTCCTCGATTGGGTTCGAGATAACAGTTAGAAATACAAGTCCATCTAGACTCTTGATTTAGTATCTAAGATTTGTTATGATTTCTGTGGATTTCTACTCATATCTAGAATGTGCTGGTACAACAAATCATAGGTCCGCTGATATATATAAAGCTTATTTTCTATTAGATGGAGATGGGTCAGATATTCAAATCTATTGCATCTGTGTAACTGTTCATTTCACATGTAATTAACTCTGTGTGTTTTTTCTACTTATTTTCTCCGTCTTCTTATTGTGGTATTAAATCGTCTAGCTAGACATCATAAGCCTTTGTGGTTTTGTATGTTCTGATCTAAGCTTGTTTTTCTTCGTAGGCATGTGAAAATGCATTGGTTTGCCTTAAGAGGAAATGTGCTGAAGACCCAAAAACAGATGAAGATTACGTTACGAAGAAATCTACTGAAGACGCAAAAGCAGATGGAGTATTTGAAAATGTGCAAGTTATTGAACAGATAAAGAGACTCAAGGATTGTGCCATGGCATCTGCTTCTTCCCACTCTGGTATGTATTATTAATTGTTTTAATTTTCTTTAATAGTAATGTTAAACCAGATTCAAAGTTTGTAACATACATGCCAGAGTATCTGTTGAAGTCAATTTGAGACAGTGAGTTAATAGTAATATCCACAATCTACGTGGTTGGTTACCAAGCTTCCTACTTGCTTAGTTATTTGAGGTCATAATGCTGAATTGGCCGCCTTAACATGTTAAACTGCAGCTTAACCTATTTGTGATATGAGGCTAAATTTTTCAGACCATTATCCCTGATAGGTTGTATTCTGCAGAAACAAACCTCTCGTTTTCATCATATAATAGTAATGTAATGATATGGCAGTATCAGCTGCACCTCAACTACTATAGTAGTGTACTTACTCCCGTTTAAAATCAAATCATTGATCTTATGTGAATTCCATAATTTCCATATAAAATACTCCCCATGCTACTGCATCACATCGAAGGGCATCAATGTAGTATGACCTGTGTGGGAACCATGCTACATCTAAATCAGAAAGCTTACAAAAAATCGTCCCAAAAAAGGAAAAAGAAAGCATACAAAAACGAACATCAATACAAAATTCTGAAAGATATGTGATAGACTTGTATCTGCTGTAAAATAAGAAGTATAAATTTGGGTGAACTGACTGTCTATCCATACTCTGTAGGCACAGAGCTTGAGATATCTCATGTGCTTAGGGTTTAAGATTATGCTAGTAACTTTGAAGCTCAGTAGGAAAAGACAATATCGTAGTTCAATGACCACATGATGTAGTCCTCCTTGGTGATTTGTCTATATGACTTTATGTGACTCATCTTTGGTAACTGAGATTTGTGTTAAGAAACTTATCAATGGCATTTGGGATTTGTTTGCTATAGTGTGATCATGGAAAATTCTGTTTGCTCATAACCAGTTCAGGCGCAGACAGCAGACTACTTGAAAAAGAGACTAAAAGAAAAGAGCGTAGATTGTTCTTCAGTTTGCAAGGACACAAAATCTGTAGCAAGCACTTTGTTCAGAAACGGAATAAAAAAGCGTAATCTACGAAAATTGAATGAGAGTCGAAGCTTGTCCAGGATGACTGATGGATCATAGCCTAGTTTAATTTGAGGTCATTGCCAACATCTTTGTGCTTATGGAATTTTATTGATTGCATATTGGATGGGAACCCTGAAGTTCAATGGTCAGATGAAGACTATAATGAGATGTGCTTGTGTGCAACAAAGAAAAGCCAAGCCAGTTGTGTTGGGTTGTCAGTTTCCGACATATATATTGAAACGGTCAAGTTAAGGTGGATGTTAAATCCCCTTGGTTGAGCCCATATTGTAGCTTTGTAGAACTTGACTAGAACAAGACTTTCATACATTTCAAACTTTGCTAGTCCAATGCCGCCTGTAGCCGAGTACTAAATTCGGTTCCTAATTCTTACTTACCCAATATTAAGGGGAAACTTGCATGTTCCTGTCTCACTCATCACGTGACCAATATTCCTATTTTACAGATCACGTGATGTGTGAGATAAGAACAGAGTAGGAACCCCTTGAAGGGGAGTTTTTGTCCATAGTAAGAATATAAAGACCAAAGTCAAAGCTAAAGAATATCAAACCAAATGGGGGAAACATTTTTCTTTTCTCTTTTCAAGATCACATTCACATTGGTTTTCTCTAGCTTGGAGTTTTTATGCATCAGTCTGGTCCGGTCGCAGGTACCCAGATGGCATTCTCAAGCCGGCTCAATTTTAGGGCCAAAGGACAAAAGGTACTCATACTTATCTGTCCTTTTCCCTTTGTTTATTTATTTTCTATATTTTCTGTGCATCTGTATGGTTATTTTGGCCATGGTCTTTTGGGTACTAATTAGAAACTTGAAATGAACATATATGTAGCTAACGGCTATAGCGTGGCCCAGCTTGTACTCACCGCTTTATTTATTTATTTGTCAAAGTTTGGATGGGAAAGAAAGTAAATTCACACACACGGTTATTATGGGGGCTTGATCTTCAGAGAAGGGAGAAACTTACACACACGGGTATTATAGGGGCTTGAACTCAAGACCGCTTGAAAACACACCAAAAACCTGTGCTAATTCAACTAACACTCCATTAGTATCGGCAGCTTTATTTTCACCCCAATATTTTCATTGTATTGAGTTGATCATAGTGGTAAACGGTCGCATTGGAAATCCAACACCACTCTTTCAAGCAATTGAATTTGAGGTCAGTAGTAGCCATTTGAAAACCCCCACTGTCGAGGCTGCCATTGTCAAAGATGGCTTCTTCTAATATAATCCACCATCTTATAGAAATTAGAATATTAGAAAGATTAGAAAACCATGCATATCTCAAGAATCGAATCTTCCATATCACCAAGCAAGTGCATTTAATGTTTGCATCGGAGGTTGCATGTTTTATTTTTCTCTAAGTTGGTGAAAGATGTCTGTTTTTCCTCTACTTTATTCATTAGCTTAAAATATGCAAGTAAAACAAAAAAGTTTACATAGATCTCACCGTCAAGAGCGTAGAAGTTTTTCTTCTTCCTATAGCTTAGGGGTTTGAAACTTCAAACTGAAAACTGAAACTTATATATAAATAATGTAATATAAAAAATACGCGTTTTCTGATAAGAAATTCAACAATATGGCCCTCATTTTAATGTTAAAATAATGTATGAGAGATAAGATGAGAGTCTAATTGAAAGCATAGACTTGGTTTTTAATTTATATATATATATATATATATATGCACATATGCTGCCATCCCATGACAACTAGGGGAAGAGAGCTGTTTTCCTCGGAACAAAAGATTAGAAGCTTGGAATCATGTGGAGAGCATTAAATGCAATAGAGTGAGAATTGGTCTTAGGGTTTCACAATTGCTATTGTTTTAGTTTCAATCTCTCTCGAAATGGGTTTCCTTTTAATAAATTCTTAAGCCTTTGCTTCATGTCGGATCTCATTAATTTCTTGGTGGTGGTAATATTATCATATATATATATATATATATTATGTGGTTATTGATATTATTAATATAATGCATACATGTGATGATGATGATGATTTGAAATCAAACAAAGTCTTGTACTCTGGTCACTGCTGTGACGTGTTAGTGGATGGTTTTGCAGCCATGCACTTCTCTGCATATATCTGACCCTACGCTAAATAAAAGTGCACAACGTGTCTTTTGAATCTTATTTGAGGAGATGAGAGTTTTGAATTCAAGCACTTGAGTTCTATGCATATTTCTGACCTTTCCCTTTCTTATCATTTCACTAGTTTTTAGTTGATTAATCATAACACAACCTGTGCCCTAGGAAAAGCATGTTTATTATTATTGGTATGCATAGCCACGCATCACCTATTTTCAATACTTGCCATTTGGTTTCATACTCGTGTAAAGTGACGGAATCAGAAATTTTATCAAGATTGGTCAATTTTAAATAATAAAGATGCGAGTCACTTGTTATAGATAAGAGATATTCGAAAA